AGAGTTTCCCCCTAACCCGATTGTCGTGGTGCCGCACGAAGTCGCCGGTACCTGGTCGTTCGATCTTTATCACTCGTGCTCCGAGATCTGAAAGGTGCCGAGTTGCCAGAGGCATGGAGATGACCTGTTCTAGAGCTACTATGGTTATGTCGCTCAGTGGCCGGGCTGATGGAGGATTGAACTGGAATGCCGCTGAGTCGGAACTGCGAGAAGTGCTATACCCCCGGCGGTGGAGAGGGTTTGCTATGTCGAGATGGGGTGAAGAGCTCGACATCGAACCACATATTGACGGTGCCCAGAAATCATTCCTCCTCTCCTGCAATCTCGTCGTCGGGTTTGTAGAATAGCACCGACACACCGATTCGAGTTGTCTCCAACTCTTGAGGTCGACGCCCCGTTTTTGCAATAGCTTGAGTGTCCGAGATATAATTCTGCTCTCCATGTTTACGGCGGGTGTTCATAACACAAACCCCTCCACGCTCGAACCAAGTAATCAGGACCGTTTCTCTACGGAGCAGAACAGCCGAGAATGGCCAAAGAAAGGAGATCCAAATCGTGCCTTTGTACTGCGTATTCCGTCCCCCTACTGTCCCTTCCCCGCACAAGGCTACTGTGCCGACGGCGCCTCGGCGGTTTCCCGGTGCTTTTGGGCTTGTGCGGGGAAATACATAGGTACTGGAGTGCCACTGTGGTTTGCATATGAAAGCCGCGCTCGCCGCAAAGGAGGAGCCGCCGGAGTACGGATTACCTTCCTCGACTTTGGAACTTCACTCACTCACTCACTTCACTTGGTAAGGTGCTGTGGAATGATCTCTCACCACTCGGCGACAAAGCGGGTTGGGAACATGGTTGTTTGTAGTGGAGTGAAGGGTTGGTGGGCATGACACGCCAAGTGAATGTCAAGCCAGGCAGGTAGGCACCCCGTAAGCTTTTCACCGCTACCCATTGCCAGTTGGTTTCAGAACAGGCCACACCATTACTATGCGATGTACCGGTAACAGCAGTCCTGTGCTTTCGGAGGTTGCCTTTTCCAAGCATGCCGTCCATTGGCGATCACTCCGTGGAGCACCGTCTACAACCTCTTTCCTATGGTCAAGGACATTGGATATGCAGATGGAGACAGGGCTGCGAAACAGAGTTCAAAGCGGAAGTTGAACAGGAGAATGACGACGATGTCATGGACTGGTGCGCATGAGAACTATTTACTGAAACGACGATTGCGACCTCGAAGCACACCCAGGATTGGATATCCCTCATGAGAAATTCAAATCCCACCGTCCTCCGATTACAGTCTTTCCTTCAGCAGCAACTGAAAAGCGATGGATCAGCAAGCTCGGCGGTAGCGGATTCCTATGCTCGTGTGCAATGTGCTCGGCGAAATCACGCGCCGTGGTAAAAGCCGTATAGCCGCGCACAAGCTCCTCTCCTGTCGCAAAGCAGAAAACACAGCCGTATTTGATGTGAGCGTGGCTTTCTCGCCTAGTCGTGGATGACCCATTCGATGATATCGAGACCTTCTCGCTCTGTGGAAGGAATAAGTGGCACTTGGCCAGAAACGAGCTGCGGTACTGGATGAGCAGATCGGCATGCTCGCGCACCTCGTCCGTCGTGTGTATGTTGGACGTCGTGCTGTTTGTTACATGATAGCGCACTTTATACGCGCAGTCTGGACATTGCCAGTTCAGGTACGCACCGCCGAAAGCCTTTAACTTGCGCCGGTTTTCCTCGTTGAGTTCTTTCTTCTCTACAAACGAGATTCGCCCTCTGTCCCGGCGGTTACTTATACCCAGCGCGCCGGGGCAGAAGTTGCCCAGCTCGGCCGGTTGCATGTCTTCTGGCATTCGACGGCTAGGGTTGCTCGGATTGAGAACCGGGAGTTGTCTGATTTGGTCTTGGCGGTAGAGGAGCGTCTCCCAGATCATGGCAAAGGGGCGACGATCCAGTAGGTCGCGGTCGTAGTGCTCGACGAAGATTGTCTGGATCCCGCGCACTGAATGCTGCATTTGCTCGACGAGTTCGCCCAGGTACTGCGCTGCCACTGCGTCAGAGCCGTCTATTATATAGGGCAGTTGCTGGAAGTCGATCGTGGAGAGCGATCGCAATCGTAATTGTAGAATTTGTAGGCGCGGATCGTAGGCTTTGATTGAGTCGGGCACGACATGTGGGATAATGTACCAATCGATCAGGGTTCTGAGCTTGCGCCGGATTTGGTTGAGCGTTGCTTGCAGGTCCTTTAGAGCCTGTTTGACCGTGATCGGACCGGGCGGAGGTTGCATAGGATCATCCATCACGATGGCGGTCATGGTTGCGCGTGGTGCAAACTCTGGCGTCGCCGTACAGGATTTCGCGATTTTACTTCTGGATAGAGCTTGGGATCTGGAGGATGTGGTTACTTGACAGGAGCGTCACGGCGCAAACGAACCCAAAGGCGCCAGTCGGTTGAGGTTGCCTGCGTGCGCCACTGCTGCTTCGAGAAGTCTCGGGGAAGGAAGACTCGACCGTAGCGAGCCTATCACTGTGCGATGAAGAAGCTGTCGAAGGAAGACATCAGGCTGAGGTAGAGAGCCTACCTTTTCAACTGCTTGAGCAGAGTCGAGGATGTCGCTCTGAGGATAGGTCACGAGGAACCAGTGCCCAGGTTACCGTTAGGCGAATTAGGTCGCCTGATCGGTTACACACGATCGCTGTCTGCGAGTCGAAGCCCGTGACGAAAGACTCCCAAAGGTCTCAGAAGCCGCGCACTTGCATATGCAAGCTCATGCAATTCGTGCATGAAGAGCAGGTGTCTAGGCGGCATAATGATCGTGCAGGAGGGGTTAGTTCGCATGAAGCAAGGCCAACTCGGGCTGCATACGGGCTGCACTCCGCCACGGGCTTGACAGGGAGTCGTGAGGAGGGGAAGAGGGAGAAGTGAATGGATGCCAAGTCGCTTAGTCAAAATCATGCCGGTTCAAATGTCGCCGTCATTTCTGTCATTCGAAATCGCCTAGGCCCCTTTCGGAATTATCAGACTTGGTCGAAAAGATCAACGCCATATTTTGCGCTCCGCCTGCGCAGGTCGCCAATGAGTATACAACTCCACAATGCCGACGGAACTGGAAGAGGTAGGTGCGGTCTACCGTCTGCCAGTTTGGTAGCGCTGACCCATTTCAGCTTGTCGAGTTCCTGCATCATGGCAATACTCAAATCAGACAAGTTGGTAGGTCGACTTTGATATTGCGCGTGTTCTGGACACTTTCCAAGTCCGGTGGATACTGTAATTCTATAAAGCATTTCGGAAACGAATTACTGAGTACTAGTATGTATTATCAGCATGCGAACATTTGGTTGGTCATTCGAAAGAAGCGACGATATTCAAGCAGCCGCAACTTGCCCCAGTCCGAGACCTGAAGCTTCTTGTGAAGGACTATCCTGTGAGTGCTCACATTGCCAATTGATGCGCGGTATGCTGATGAACCTCTTTCTGTCGTGGCCAGCCCATCGCCAAGAATGCTCTCACAATTTTGATCAATATCAGCCACGACGCCGAAATCCTTGAGAATCTCGCCACTGATGATTCGTTCCTCGAGACATTGTTGAACAAGATCACAGTATGTAGGTTGGAATCCTCGTTCATTACCGTTGCTTCCCACTTATATCCGATGCGAGCAAGCACTGACACCCACCAGAACCCGAAAGAAGAGGCCGCAAATGAGGTTGCAATGCTTTTGGCGAATCTCGCCAAGTCGGAGCGCCTGGAAAGGCTGATTAAGCTGAAACGAGCGACGCCGGCGGAGGCGGTGTCCACATCTCCATATGCGCTCGATCAGCTGTTTGACTGCTTCGTGAAGGGAGCGGAAGGAAAGCTCAACAAGTACGCCGACTTTGACTACCTGGCTTACCTCCTTGCGGACATGTCGAAGTACAAAGCTGGAAGAGACCATTTCTTAGGCAAGAGAGACTATGACCAAGTAGTGCCGATCAGCAAGTTGACCGTCTTCACCGAGCATAAGAGTCACGTCCGGCGAAGTGGTGTGGCCAGCACCATCAAGAACGTCGCGTTTGAGGTCGACAAACACCCATTGCTACTTGCGGATGACACAGAATTTATCGATGGTGTCCCAGGCGTCAATATATTACCGTACATCCTGCTACCATTGGCTGGATCAGAGGAATATCCTGAGGAGGAATCTGCGAACATGCTTCCGGATTTGCAACTCTTGCCCCCAGACAAAACGAGAGAAGAGGATAACGAGATTCTTGTCACTCATCTGGAGACATTGTTGCTTCTTACCACGACGAGGGAAGGGAGGGACAAGCTGAGGCAGGTCCAGGTGTATCCCTTGACCAGGGAAACACATCTGCATGTTCAGGACGAAGGTGTGAGAGAGGCATGTGATCGCCTAGTACAGATTCTCATGAGGGAGGAGGAGGAGGAACGTGCAGAGACCGAACAAGTGGACGATGACGAAAGGATAGAAGAGATATTTTGAATGAGACTGCAAGGAGAAAGCTGATTGCTGACCCAGTAGTTTCATGCTGCGACAAGTACTGGCCCAAACCTTACTAAAATCTACTGCCCAAAGAGTGGTCGGGCAGCGTGAAAAGGTGTCTAGAACGATCGCCATTGTCTCGGTCGGCGCAGACCCTCCCAAGCACTATCTATTCAAGAAACAGTCTGGCTCCGAGACACTCTCTTTTGCCGAATCTCGCTAGACTTTTGTGATTGGTGCGCTTTTCAGCCTTGCGCTGGTAAAGAGAGGCTGAGCTAAACGGTATGAGGATCTTCGGCTCAGTTGCCGATTGCAGACAGAGCCTCGAGGCACAAGCACTAAACTAGCAATAATACGGTGATATTCAACATTGCTGAACGCATTTCACTACGGTGACGCATATGAATCGCCCAACGCGTCGCTCCCAAACTTGACCTGCATCTTTCGGTTCCCTTCCAATATCGTTTTGACGCGTCCATTGTCAGACTTCTACTGCTTTCTCGCAACCGGCACAAGGCCCATGGCGGCATGCCTGCGGCACGACAGATAAATGCTTTCGAGCCCCCGCCATCCTCGATACTCGTGACGCATGTCGTACATGGAAATGGAGTGCACGACTTCGACCAAGACAGTTTCAACCAGCTACTGGCCGAAGCATCGGGCTCTGACGACCAAGGTCAATCCAACCTGGGAGGTGACGTGGCCGTGAATCATAAATTGATCTGCATCGTCTTTCAGATCGGCATTGAGCCCAGCCTCGAGGAGAACCCTTTCCGTGCTGCGACCGCCGGAGGTAAGGGCAATTCTCAGTTACGGACCTGCCTGGAAGTCGTTCGAGTTGCTATTGAGCGGTCGCAGCAAGTTATCTTTGTGAAATCGGACCGCCAAGGCATTGGGGCGTCTACAAAAGCGTGCTCACTCTACTCTTGGCTCATTCCTACCCTCTTGCCTTTGGTTGCCTCAGACCAAACAGAAGACATCAGGGATGCGGTGCTAGAGCTTTTTGACTCCATAGTGGATGCCGACAGGAAGTGCTCTCCATCCTCCTCTTCTGACGTGGTATTGAGCTTCTTGAGGAACTCAGTCTCGAGTGAGTTTGCATATTGCCATATGTTCAACACACTCCTAACCGTGCTAGGTATTTTTTCCCTTGCTGAATCGCTCCTCCCACTCCGGCCAGCCGCTCCGGTCATTATAGATGGAGAAGACTTTGCGTCGAACATCACACAACTCACGCACGGCCTCGAAGTCAGCGTACCCAGCCTCAAGTTTCCGTCCTCTCGTCTGCTGGTGTTGGCGCTGGCCCGCGTGTTGAAGCTGTTGTCGAAACACTCTGGATCGCCACAACACAGCATACAGCTTCGAAAGGTCTTCTCTCGATTCCGCCAATTTGTCGACGACAACGAGGATGCCGTAGTCAATAGTGAAGAGCCTGAGGTAGTGTACACCTGGAGGTACTGCACTACAGTACTAACCATCTTACAGGGGATTGAGCACGAGATCCGCGGCTTGAGTATTAGACCTGTCAAAAATCTGGCGAAACCTCCTGCAGATACCACAGAAACATGGCCTGATAGCGATCGAGCACGCAAGAGACTACGTCTATCTACCAACAGTGAGGATGGCTTACCAAATGGTTCCGCCCAGCAGAAAATTTGTCGCAGTCTCACTTTTGAATTGACTGGACGTGGTGTTCCCGATCTTGACGGCCTGGCCCAGACAGCGTCTGTGAACTTCAGGAGCCTATCAGAGGACAAACAATGCGCCGTGCTCGAACTGCTAGGCATAAGCGCCTGTCAACTCGCTTCATCATCTACCGGTCCCCAATGTTCGAACTGTGACGAGGCACACGGAGCACCAGATTCGAACCCCGTCTTAGTAACACCTTCCAGCGGGGAGCTGCTGCGAACACTGCTTCTGCTAGTTCAAAATATCTCCCGTCATTCCCGTGCAAGGGTCGTCGCTATGGTTGCTCTTCGTCGGACTATACTACACACGAGTTCAGATGAGGACCTGAAGCTGGGTCAGACACCTGCTGGCGATTGGTGTCTCCAGTCGCTCAAAAGTTCTTCAAGGGACCTCAGAATCGTGGCAGCCAGAACTCTGCAAGTCTACGTGATGCAGAGGCGGCGTGTTAGCGTTGCCCTTGCACGCGAGAACAGACTTACGGCCTTAGACTTCCTCCAAAACCTTTGGCAAAAGGGAGAGGTGTCACTGCAGGAGACTGTCATCATGGCTTTGACCCAAATGGCACAAGTTGTTGGAGATGAAGAGCTAAACATCATTTTGCTCCGGCTAGTCGAATACCTTGGCCATACTAACCCATATATCAGCGGCCTGGTCTACGCCGAAATCCAGCATCTTGCACAGTGCCTGCAGACGTCCGTGTGGGTTCTCTTCCGGCCATTCTGGAGGACGCTGGGAGTGGTCTTCGCGAAATCTCTAATGTCTCGGCCGAACGCTGCGCAGCAAATGTGTGATTTGCTCGGAATGGACATGTCGAGTCTGATGGGCCATGCGACGGAATTCGCCCTTCCCTATCTAGTCTTGCACAAAGCTCACGAAGTGATCAGGAAATTTGCTGAGGCCAATGGCCAGTCCGCCACGCCCTTCGACATATGCACTCAAGGACCAAATCTTGTCGCCATTCTTTCGTTCCTCTTGGTACAGCCCTTTCCTGATGCGGAACAGTCTATCATGTCAATCTTGTCAGAGGTGTCTGGAGACTTTGCCAGAGCCGATCTCGCCGACTGGGCTGCTGATTCCATTCAGATTGCCTGTACATTGCTCAAAGCCATCGGAGACACTGGACAAGGAAAGTCGTCCCGCATCTATCATGGTCTGCAACTCCTCGCCCAACTGGTTGCTCGTCAGCGTGGGCAATCTGGCTCAAAACGAAGCGACAGCATTGGGACATTTTTGGAGAATAACGTTCTTGCAATTGTCACGCAGTTCACTGTTCTGTTGAATGACCTAGAGGCAAAAGAGTCGAAAAACGAAAAGCGACGATGTCTGGCTGCACTGGGTGAGATAGTCAAGCTGGGCAAGAGTCGCATTGTACGTGCTCTGCCGCAAATCTGTACTTGTCTGCGCTCGGGCCTGGACGATCCTAATTTGTGCGACGCCGCATTCGCCTCGTGGGCAGCCATGATCACATCTCTGAAGAAAGAGGACTTGGAACCTCTCGTTGAACAGACCTTTGCGATGATCGTCCGAAACTGGGATACGCTCGATAGCTTATCACAACAGTTAGCTCACAACGTCGTTGCTGATCTGATCAGGAAGCATTCAGATCTGATCCGGAAACACTTCAGCACACTCCCGTCATTAGCTTCAATTCCCTCCATGGCCGATCTCGAATCGGAAATCGTCGGCTTGAAAGGTCAAATGGATGACCGGCAAAGGCTGAACGCCTATGTGCAGAGACTGAAGGATGAGAATAACGCGGTGATTGAACAAACTTTGGTTGAGCTCGCACCGCTTCTACGGCGAAAACAAGATCTTTTGCAGAGATCGATCCTTCAAGAGCAGCCGGACGAGCTTATTGCAGAGTTGACCCGTGCACTGCTCAACTGCTGCGTCAAGTTCAACTCGAGTAATGAGGTAACGCAGCTGTGCGGCCAGTGTCTGGGCAGTATAGGTTGCCTCGATGCCAGCAAGATCGACAATGTGAAAGACCGCAAAATGATGGTGGTACTGGCGAATTTCAGCAAGGCGGACGAGGTCATTCGGTGGATCTTCTTCTTCCTCGAGCATGTCTTGGTCAAGGCCTTCTTGTCTGCGAACACCACTCGGGCTCAAGGCTTCCTCGGTTGGGCTATGCAGCAGCTCTTGAAGTCTTGTGGGCTGGACGCGCCGTCAAAAGCCCTGGGTGAAAGTCTGACTGCGCAGTTATGGGATGAATTGCCCGCCTCCATTCAGAACGTCCTAATACCATTTACGACCTCGAAGTATACAGTGCTCGAAGTGCGAGCTCCGGAAAAGAGTCAATATCCTCTGTTCGCTCCCGGTATGAGATACCGCGACTGGCTTCGAACAATCACGCTGGATTTCCTCCACCAAGGCACCGGAGAGAACGTCGACATTGTCTTCTCTATCTCCTGCCGCATCATACATGGACAAGATATTTCGATCCCTGCGTTTCTATTACCGTATGCAGTTGTCAACCTCATCGTCAACGGCATTGAGCGGGACAGTCAAGATATTGTGGCCGAGATCAATTCCATTTTCGGTCAAGCTCTGGATGGTCACAGTCAACGAGTGCAAGAGGACATAAAGTTATGCAGCCAGACAATGTTTGAGGTACTTGACTACATGTCTACTTGGCAGCAACAAAGGCGGAAGCAATATGCCGGCACCATAGCCAAGCCAGACCGAGGGCTCAACGATCCACTCTCGAACAATGCTGTTGCTCAAATTCGAAGCATAGAGCGTGTACTTGAACAGATCGCTCCAGATGTCCTAGCCCGAAGAGCACTGGAGTGCCGGTCTTATTCAAGGGCACTGTTTCACTGGGAGCAACACATACGCAAATCGAATCAAGACGACATTGAGGGAGAACTCCAAAGATTGCAAGACATATATGCTCAGATCGATGAACCAGACGGAATTGAGGGCATCTCTGCTCGGATGCATGTTCTGGACATCGAGCAGCAGGTCTTGGAGCATAAGAAGGCCGGACGTTGGACTGCAGCTCAGAGCTGGTACGAAATGCAGCTTGTGGCTCATCCGGAAGACAGCGATGTGCAGAGAAACCTAATGGAATGCCTCAAGGAGTCGGGACAATATGATGCCCTGATTCACCACTTCGATGGGATCAAGAGCCGCAACAGCAATTCATCTACCGTGCTTTCACCTTATGCGATTGAAGCAGCCTGGGCCACAAGTCGCTGGGATCTTTTGGCCAGCTACATCCCGCAAGTTGGCGGATACGATTTTGCTTCCCACATTGCAGACATCATGCTGGCAGTAAAGAGTGGGGACGATGCGAGAGCCGTCCACCTCGTTTCCGAAGTATACCGAACAACAGCTTCAGAGCTCAACCAAAGCAACATCTCTTCATTCCAAGCGAGTCATCACACATTACTCAGATTGCACGTGCTTAACGACGTGCAGCTCATCATGGAAAGCCGCAAAGAAGACCGTGGGGCGGTGCTGGATATCTTACGAGGCCGTCTGGATGTTCTTGGAACCAACGTCGCCGATAAGCAATATCTACTCGGGGTCCGCCGTGCCGTCATGTCCTTGAGACCCGAGGTTTTCACACTGGATGATGTCGCAGCCGCGTGGCTCTCAAGTGCCAGGCTCGCACGGAAAGCCCGGTCAACCACCCAAGCTTTCAATGCCGTCCTCAAAGCAGCGGCTCTCGGCGACAAATCTGCCGCCATTGAACAGGCGAAGCTTATGTGGTTGGAGGGGCATCACCGCAAGGCCATTCAGACGCTCGAGGGAGCGATCGAATCGGGTGCATTTGTGGCACATGACCACATGTCAGAAAATGGCCCAACCACAATGACTGTGGAGCAGCGACACCTGCAGAATGCAATGACGGCTCAAGCCCACGTCCTACTCGGCAAGTGGCTCGCACAGGCCGGGCAGACTCAATCGGAGGTTATCAGGAAGACCTTCAGAAAGGCCACAGAGAGCTTCAGCAAGGGAGAGAAAGGCTGGTATCACCTCGGTCGCTACTACAACAAGATGCTTGACTCTGAACGGGCAATGCCGCCAGGTAAAGAAAGTCAAACATATCTGACGGGGGAAACCACCAAACACGTCATCGAGAACTATCTGCGGTCGCTTGCCAATGGCAGCAAGTACGTCTTTCAGACACTGCCAAAAGTGCTGACTCTTTGGCTCGAGCTCATCGACGGAACAGAGCCTGCCAGGGATGACCGACGGGGTAACCTGGAGTTTCACACCAAGGTGGCAAACCAACGAAAGCGCGTCATTGATGAGACCAACAATCAGATCAAGAAGTACATGGATCGACTGCAACCAGTCCTCCTCTACACCATTTTACCGCAGCTTGTTGCACGAATCTGCCATCCCAGCAAAACCGTTCAGGAGATCCTGTTCAACATCGTGATCCGAGTGGCAAAAGCCTTCCCACAACAAGCACTTTGGACGCTGTTGGCAGTGGTGGAGTCTCAGCAGAAAGACCGGGCCTTGAAGGGGACCCAGATCGTAACTAAGCTCGTCGAAGTCACGAAGAAGTCAAGCAAGGACTCATCTGCTGCCGAGATGAGAAGCATGTTTACTAATGGCCACAAGTTCGTCAAGGAGCTGCTCCGCATCTCTGAGTTTCCTATCGAGGGCAAAGTCTTCCAGGTCAACCTCGCGAAAGACCTGGGCTTCAACCACAAGATCGCTCCCTCGAAGCTTGTCGTTCCAAACCAAGCGTGCCTTGTTCCCAGCATGCCCACAAGCTTTGAGCCTGCGCAGCTGAAAGCCTTTCGGCCTTTCGCAAAAGAACCCGTCACCGTCTCTGCATTCCTTGATGAAGCACTTGTCCTGAATTCGCTGCAGAAGCCACGTAGACTTACCATCCGTGGCTCCGATGGTAACCTGTACAACGTGCTTGCGAAACCAAAGGACGACCTACGCAAAGACCAACGTCTGATGGAGTTCAACAACATGATCAATCGCTTCCTCAAACGCGACGTTGATGCCGCTCGACGAAGACTCTACATCCGCACCTACGCCGTCATCCCTATGAATGAGGAATGCGGGCTCATCGAATGGGTCGACAATCTGAAGACCTTTCGCGATATCGTCCTCAGGCTATACAAGGACAAATCCATTATACCAAATTATATCGAGATCCGGAAGCTCCTGGACGACTCCTGCAGCGGTGATACCGAGAAAGTGAAGATCTTCGCCAACAAAGTCCTTGCGACCTTCCCCCCTGTGTTTCACGAGTGGTTCGTTGAATCGTTTGCAGATCCGTCGGCATGGTTCAACGCCCGATTACGATACACTCGCTCTGCGGCCGTCATGTCCATCGTCGGCCACGTCCTAGGCCTGGGCGACAGACACGGCGAGAACATCCTCTTCGAAGAAGACAACGGCGGCACATTACACGTAGACTTCAACTGCCTCTTCGACAAGGGCCTCACGTTTGAAAAGCCCGAGATGGTTCCCTTTCGACTCACGCACAACATGATCGACGCGATGGGCGCGTACGGATACGAGGGTCCTTTCCGCCGTTGCTGCGAAATCACCCTCCAGCTGCTTCGTGGTAACGAAGATGCGCTAATGACGATCCTGGAGACGTTCTTGCACGACCCGACGACAGACTTTATCAATTCGGCAGGGAGGAAAAAGAAGGTCGTCCCAGGCGTTCCTAACACACCGGTCGAAGTGCTCGAGGGCGTCAGAGCGAAGGTCCGGGGCTTCTTGTTTGGAGAAAGCGTGCCGCTGAGCGTGGATGGGTATGTGGACGAGATGATCGGACAAGCTGTCGATCATAGGAATCTGTGCAGGATGTATATTGGGTGGTGCGCCTTCTTTTGAAAGTCATGCATCCCGCGATCACCAGAAGCACACGGGTCGGTCAGGATGCTTTCCGGATCAAAGTCTCGCATAGAGCCATGAAGCTGAGACTGATTCGGGGCCAATCACTTGAGTTAGCAGTTTGGCAAGAAATGATATCATTAGATATGATAGGACAAGTGCGATGAGCGAGTTGGTGTGCGATGTTGTCTGCTTGATCGCCTGGCTTGGTCTGGGAACCTGATGGGGCGACGGCAATGGCATCGTGACTGTCTGGGCAGTCTGCCGTATGGTACTTTCGTACTGCACGAGATAGAGGAGACGCATGGTCCGTCAGTGCACTCCGATGAAGTTCCCATTACCGCTACGTTCTGCGGCTACATCTTCTAGTCGAGAATCACACCACCCCAGTCAAATCACTCGTTCTGTACCGGCGATGATGGAAACATGTCATCGGCGTTCAAGCCCTGGGACTCTTCCTCCTGATCAGCCTTGTCAGCCTGGATATCCTCCTCATCTATGTCTTGGGAGTTCAAGGCCTCTTCCTCGGAGCCATCAAGTTCAAGTCCTGCGCTGGGTAACATGTGCGATGACGCGGTGCCTCGCACGGGTGAAGACGAGAACATGTCTGCTCCGTCTGCTTCTGTTTCTGCTTGCGCCTCTGCTACTTCCTCGTTCATGGCATTGAGATCAGGAGCCGGGAGCTCTGCTGCGGCAGAGGAAAGTATTGGGGTTTGCTCAGACCGGACTGCCCCTGTATCTGTATCTGGGTCGGCGAGAAAAGCGGCTAGGTCGTCATCTTCGCCGATTGGAAACTCGTTTTCGTCAGGAGTTGGTGAAACTTTGCGCTGCGTTGTGGACGGCATATTGTCAGGCTCTTTTTGCAAGGCAGTGGATTTCGAGCGTGATTCTTGTTCGGCAAGCACGGCGTCGAGATCGTCCATCTCTCCGTGATCATCTTCGCCAAATGGCAAGCTCTGGGGTTTGGGGAGTGGTGCAACGGCAGCTGGAGCATTCTGGCGTCTCTCCTGCTCGGCAAGCAGTGCATCGAGATCGTCTTCGCCCTCAGAATCGTCCTCCACGATCCTCTTCGGTGCTGTCAACCGCCGTGGAGTTGGACGGCTCTCTTGTTGAGCGAGTAGAGCGTCGAGCTCATCTTCTTCTGGGAGACCGACGTCTCCATTCTCTGCGGCCCCGTTCGCCCCGGACTCTGGAACAAACAGAGAATCGTCCTCTTCGACCGTCCCGGCGGTTCGAGGCTCGTTGTTAGCTCCGCTCATGAGCGCTTCCTCGCCTACGTACTTCTCCTCCGTCTCCTTTTCTCTGTCTCTCTCCTCTTTCTCGGCTTTCTTTTTCGCCTCCTTCTCTCTAAGATACCAGGGTTTGCCCTCGTCGATCCACTCTCTCCTCATCACCTGCATGCGTCTCGAGTGGCCCGCCTTCTCCACTAGCTGCAACGCATCCGCAAACTTAGCCCGCGGATATAAATCGTCCAGCCACAATTGGTAGTAGTTCAGGAGTTTCGCCACGTCCGAAAACTCGTGGCCTTTGCCTTTAATTCTCAATTTCTTGGTGAGGAAGTTCGGCATGCGGGCATCGGCGCGCAGCTTGGGAATGCCGGGCGCGGAGAGAAGACGGGCTTCGTCGAGTTTGGCAACGGGCTTGCGCTGTTTCTTGATCTTAATCTCAGAGTCCAGGCCTAGGGTGTCTTCAAGATCGGATGCTTTTCTCTTGCCGGGTCCACGGGGAGATAGGGCGGTCTCGTCGCCGCGCTTGGTCTGGCGCGAGGGTTTGTCGTTGAACGGGTCTTCATCGTCGGTGCTGTCGAAGTTGAGGAGGTCATCGACCGTCGCGGAAGTGAGAGGGTCGGCGGCCATTGTCCCTTCCGTGCTTGTAGGGGATAGATGATGAGGAGAGAATTCTGGCCGTAAGTCTGCATCTGAGGGTTATGGAGGTACGCGTCGGAAGAAGTCGAGACGCGTCCTGGTCCACGCGACGTCATTGGGAATCTAAGGAGGCTATTCTACTTTAGATCTAGTCTCTTGGCACTCGAAGCTCCGCATGGACCTCGACTCTCAGAGCCCTGAAGAATGACTGCGAACAAAGCCGGTCAACACAGCCATGGCGGACGAGCAGAAAGTGTTTATCCCGCCCAAGCGGGTGAACACAGACTATCCAGTAAGTTCGGGCGGCGTTCGAATTCTGAGGCGAAGCTGACAGGTCTCTTTCCACAGGTCATCGACACCGATCCGTACGTCTCCTAGCCCCTACGAGCTTCCCACGCGGTATAACTGACGGTGCTCGACATTCTACAGACACTGGAGAAGGGCCTTCGGATATGCCAGAGGGGAGGACTGGACTTATGGCGCGGGCATGGCCGCGATAGGACCGGCATTCATGCTTCTCACCGAACGATACGCTCCCTCATTTTCCGGCAGACATGCGTTCCCCATGGCCTTTAGACTCAGTTGCGCCGTCGGGCTAATAGCGGGAGCAGGCCTGGTGTACCAGAGGAGTTGCTGTACGTGTGACCTTGGAAGAGAAGCATAGCATTTCAGGCCAGGGTTGCGCTAACAACCATTGTGATCACAGTGAGGTTCTACGGTTGGACAGAAAACGAGCGCGAAGTCAAGATGGACATGCGGGAGATGGTCGATAAAGTAAAGAAAGGAGAGCCTCTATACGGCCACTCCGACCTCACACCATATATGCAAGGTGTTGCGGCACGAAACAGCAGATACTCGGCACTGATGGCCAATGTAGTGCCATGGGCCAATTTTGTAAATCACAACCAGGTGAGTATGAGGCTGCCCAGAAAACTGGGAACTAAGCTGATGAGTCATCTGCAGCATGGTGTTGATACCGCCAAATACTACCAACAAGCGGAGCGCGAGCTGGAAGCTGAGAGATTAAAAGGTGGAAGATGATCAGCTGGATGCTACGACCTGAATAGCAATGGCATATCAAGACCTGGAGCAGTAAAGTCCTTTCCATGACTGTACATAAGGAGGTGGACGATGGAGACTTCCCACCATTGACTCTGACCTGAATTGGGACACAACTGAAGAAGAGAAGGCGAGGTTCTTATTCAGCACATCTCACTTTTCAGTCATTCCTCTCTTTTCGACATGCTGATCACACCTTTTCAGAGCGCAACTGTTGTATTTGGTGATTGCGGGCCTTTGGTGGCGCGTGAATCTCAGGACCCCCTCGGCATTCACCTGGCCACCAGGACACTCTCTGCTAACTCTTGAAGCGAAGAAACACATAGACTGACCCACGACTCACGTTGCCAAGACTACACATTCACAATGCCGCTGCCTGACCCTTTGTGATAAAGTCTTCTCCCTTTCGCGTTGGGATTTATTTCACCGGTTTCTTTTGCCCATCTTCGCTCCTTGCTCTACCACAGACGACACAGAAATCCCCTTTCACTGGTATCTCACACCTTCCACCACCATGCCAGGAAAGAAGGGAGGCAAGAGACGAGGCAAAAAGGCCGTGAAGAACGGAGACGATACCCAAGCAGGGTCGGACATCAGTTACACGTCCAATGTCTGGCAGAAACGTACAAGCTCTTCTTCCCTGCAGTGGTCTGTTCGATACTAACTGACTAATCCTCCATCTTTGTAGGTGTGGTTGCCAGTGAGATCTTCATCAGTCCCACTGTCACCACCGGTGAAGGCACCCGCAAGCTCATCCAGATTGCCAACCAAGGAGTAAGATGTCCCATTTTCTATCCCCCTCCATCCGTCACATTCTGTATCTTTCCTAAGGTGGTGTTTCTCAGCCTCCGTTCCTAGTACCCACGTCTCCAATGTTTGGCCGTTCCCATCCAAGTCCTGACGGTGTTGCAGATGGCCGAGTTTGCTGCTCAAACCCGAGAGTTGGTCCACGGGTCCACCGACGCTGACCATGACCACCGGTACATCTACTATTCCTCGTTGCTCCAAAATATTGAGAAACGAAGGCAACAGGGTGCGATGTTCAAGGAAAAACAGGCTCGTCGGGAGCTGGACAAGAAACTCGAACCCTACGAGCTGCAGAAACTCCGCTACCACGCCGCGACCAAGCTGGCCAACGACTTGGTCTACAAATTCGACCAACTCGGCAAGGTCGCGCGGAGCCTGCTTACCAGCCAGGAAGAGCTCGGCGAAGGAATTGCCGTGAGTGAATCGGGCAGGAAGAAGATCGTCGTCAGCGCCAAGTGTATCGACACGCTCTGGAAGGACATCATCACGACGCATACGCAGCTCAAGAAGTTGCACGATGAGATCGTAGTCGTCAAGATGACCCTCCTACCCGTTCCGGGTCGCTTGAAGCCCGGCGAGATCGACCGTGGTGAAGACGAGGCAGGGAACAAGCTCGGCAGAGAAACCGTGTGGGTCTACGATCCTACAAACATGGTTGGTAGCGACAAGCTCGTCATTGGCGAAGATGGTCAAATTGAAGGCCTCGACACGGATGAGCCAGTGCGTCCCGAGGGAACACCCCCGTCATCTGATGAAACCACCTTGGTCGAAGAGTTCGACGACCAGTGCCGGATTGGTTCACCTTCCTGGTATGCCGGGACCGTCAGCTCCACTAGGGCTCCTGGCACACCGGATACGAAGGAGTCCAGCAAGGCAACCAGTGAAGAGAAGAGTAGGCAGCGAGATGTCAAGGAAGGTAGCAAGCGCAAGGCCGAAGACGAAGACGAATCTGCAATTTCCAAGGAAGACACCAAGATTCAGGATGAAGCGTACGAGAGTGATCGCGAGCTGTTGTTCGTCTGCAAGTGATTGTGGGGATACTCGAGATAGCCGCAGGCAAGGAGGCATCATCGTCTCATTCGCGCCCTGCATCAGGAGACTCGCAAAGCGATGGATGGTAGAACCAGGCTTGACTGAGCGGTGAATTGGTGTCCATCTCCATATGGACGATAAATCGGTCAGCCCATCGCATTACAAACAACCACTTTATCCGTGCGCACCACACGCGCTCCTGGCCGCCGAACCCGTCGTCAACCTTTCTTACCGTCTCCTTTGTAGTCGTACACAATTCTCGTCCTGACCACCTTGGCTGCGTTCCAGATGACAACCCGCCTAGTATATCGTCGCTCGCCATTGATCGTCTCAAATCCCCAGATCTGCTCGCATTTCCAGCCGGCGCCACCCGTGCTCTCCACCCAACTCTGGACGACTTCATCGACCTCGAAACGCGAGTCTGTTCGCCCATCCTTCAACTTCTCTCCCTTGAGGAAGGCAGCGTCCTCGGCCGACCCGGGCCCTTCCAAATGGTACTCGCTGATCTTGACGAGGCGTGATCTATGTCGACACTTGCCGAAAATCTTGTCGACGTGCTCGGCATCCTGCCAATTCAAGATGCGGTCTTCCTGTGTCTTGTCGAGTCCGGCCACGACGGTGGTGACGTCAATATGCGTCGTAGAGTCTTTGGTATATTCCTTGACAGAGAGCTGTGTGGAGTTAGTTGTCGATCGATCGAGGCAGGTCGCTGATCCACGGAGAGGCGAACACACACCACAACACTAGCCAGGCTGATGACCTTGCGAATAGCCCAGTTGACGCCCTGCAGCTCGAGCATGGCATCGACGTCGTCGGAGAGGGACCTGTTCTAGTATACCCCGTCAGAGTGCGATGCAACACTGCAATCGGAAGCAGTCTTACCAAGGCGAATTTGCCCGACAGGTTGGTGCAAGTAATCTGAGGCGGTGCGGCCATGGCTGCTGGGAGGGAGAGTGGTGCTTAGTTAGCTCCAGCAGACACATCGGTCCCATTTGGCCTCGAAGCAACAAGACAGGGAGGGAAGCCATTGCTGTTTTATAGTACGTCGCAGACTTTGCAAGTTGATGCTGCCTCCTCCTCGGCGGGAGTTCGAGATGCGAAACGGTTCCCCAAGTGAGCGTAGCGTTTACCAAAACTGTCGGTGCGTGTCATTCAGCCAGCCACCGACTCACCTTAGCGGTACTGATATACTCATTGGCTGGATGTCGTTATAGATGCTGCCTCCAAAGCGTGTAGCTGCATGTTGCGGCAGACGTGATGCACAGTCGACTCGGTGTCAGCTCGTCTCTCCAGTTGTGTGCAGATTTCTTCTCATGCTGTCGCAATGGCTGGCTATGCTCACACCTCGCGGTAAGACACTGTCCGGTCATGTACCGTCATCTTCACATCCACACCACGGACGATCTGCTTGAAAGCCGAGCTTCACAAAAGCCGGGAATAAAATGGGTTGGTGTTGTATATGACTACAGAAACAAGAAGCCATTTCGACCCCAAGATCAGCGCATACAAAGTGGGGCCAGGACTGACGGACATCAAGGTCAGATTATCTCAACCTCGAGCTTCCAGATGTTCCTGTTAGACGACAGCTTGATTGCAGGCTCATTCATTACCTCTCCGAATGCAATGGGCACTGTAGTTGTGACTGTCTCTCAGCTTTATCATGGCGCGGCTGATCCTTGCCGATGCTCGAAGGCGCACTTGATCGGGACCGAACGTGGAACGTGAGAGATTGGGATATTTTTGGCCACAATCCCAGACACCTGTTGTTTCCAGTGGGTCGTGCTGGCGGACTTCTTTGGCTTCACGAAATATCTCTGTCTGACCACACGGCAAATAGAACAAGATTCCATCGACGACACAGGCATAATTCTTTGTCTGAAGCAATGCGAGGCCAACCATCTCCACTGCACAACAAAGGTCCCTTTCGCATAGACAATACTTGATGATATTCAAGCCAGCGCCCATCCTAATCAATACATCGACCACTACATGATTTGTTGGTGAGCCATTGCCTGGGCAAGATCACTGAGCCGGCATTCCGATACTAGAGCATGAGGCCGGTCGGCACGTGGATACGGAGTCCATGCCGAAGGAAATCAGGGGTTGCCGTCTCCGTCACACAGAGACTTCCTTGGCGGTATCTATGAGTGAATGCTAACTGTATCGAACTAAGATGCACCGGCAAGAGATGCTCACGAACTAGGTGTCCTCCGTAAATAGCAGTGCACAACTCGTGACGCCGCGAGGCTGGCCCTCCACACTGAATGTGTTAGATGTTGGAGCGTGCTGGAGATGGTCTGCTCTACCGAGACCAGCAAGGAAGCTGCCCTGCTGGTAACCATACAGTCGATATAGGTTCTAAGGGTCTCAGACAAAAGAGAGGGCAGTTGAAAGGATTTGCGGGGCTACTCGTGTTGTGACTTTTCTGAGAAACAACGAGGGTATTTGTAGTCCTCGTTGTGGTTGAAACCCAAGGGGACCGGAGCGGTTGCGGGTTAAAACCTCCAGGGTCGTCCCGTGGTTCTACGAAGGCTACCATAATTTACGGGCTGGTACCACTATGGACCGCGTAATTGTTGCAGCATCACTTCAGCAACCTACCATTTCAGAAATCAAACAAGTAATCGAGCCCTATTCTCCCGACACTGGCAGTCGTCCAGCGGCGCGAGAAGGCTGAACTCCTTTAGGAGCATCGACGTCATAGGGCCAAGGAGCCTTCCCCCCCCTGAAACTAAACGCGAGGAAGGTGACCCGATGTGGACAGTTTCGCGTTAACAGACGTCAAGATGACTTCTACCGTATAAGGCGGGCTGAGACGGAGCGGAGCTTCTCATACGTATCAAACATGATATTAAGGTCGGAAGTGCTCTTGCTGAGCAGTTTCTTGGCAATTTCTGCGCAGGCAGCAGAGACAAGAGCCTCCGAGTCTTCACGGCCTCGAGGCGTCGGACCAGAGTGTAAGAAATGTTCCCCAGTGCCAGAACAGGAGCATTGAGCGAAACCGATGGGCTGTGCTGGGGCTTGCACTTGTGTTTGAAGACCAACGATGACTGACTTCTACACATAGTCGCCAAGTTCTACAAATCCACCGCCTCCCCACCCACTTTCACATGTATTTCCAACCCGTCCATTTCGATCCCCTTCTCCCGCGTCAATGACGACTTTTGCGACTGTCCCGACGGCAGCGATGAGCCTGGCACGTCGGCCTGCTCTTACCTCTCTTCCCTTTCACCACCGCAGTACCACCCGGGGCCGGACACGCTCTCCACAACGGCAAACACGACGCTAGCATTACCGGGCTTCTACTGTAAGAATAAAGGCCATGTACCGCAATACCTGAGATTCGAGAGCGTGAACGACGGGAAATGCGACTACGAGATCTGCTGTGACGGGTCAGACGAGTACGCTTCCGTGGGCGGGATCAAGTGCGAGGATAAATGCGCGAGCATCGGCAAAGAATACCGCAAGCAGGAGGAGACGCGGCAGAAAGCCCTGCGAGCGGCGCTGAAGCGGAAGGCACAGCTCGCGGCCGAGGCGGAGAGGCTGAAGAAGGAGGTGGAGTTGAAGATCGAGGACGCCGAGATCAAGTTGAAGGCATTCCAGATCAACGTCAAGGAGGCCGAGGAGAACCTGAAGGAAGTGGAACGGAGAGAGAAATTGAGGGTCGTCCGGGGACAGTCCGCCGGCGGGGGCAAACTCGGGGTATTAGTCGGGCTGGCGAAGTCGCGGATCGACGAGCTGCGAGCGCAGCTGGCCAAGACCAAGAAACAGCGCGACAGCATGGTCGGCCGGATCACGGAGCTCGAAGGCCTCTTGTCCGCCCTGCAGAGGGACCACAACCCGAATTTCAACGACGAGGGCGTCAAGGCCGCCGTGCGCGGGTGGGAAGACTACGCGGCGCGCGAAACCGACGACAACTGGACAGAGGCCGAGGATCGCGATCTCGAAGCCATCCTCGCCGAGGACACCGACGCCAACGGCATCGACTGGGCCGAGTTCTCCCAGGAAAGCGATGCGGACGCCGTCGATTCCGACGTCGCGGCTCTGTATAGCTTCACGTCCTACCTCCCTGCGCCGCTCCGCGTCTGGCTGTCCGACAGCATCGCCTCCCTGCGCAAAGTCCTCGTCGAGAATGGCGTGCTCGCCGACACGGGCAACTCCGCCGACTCGACCGTCCAGGAGTCAAAAGCCGTGCAAGACGCAAAGCGCACGCTGAGCGACGCGGAACGCGACGTGCGCAACGCCGAGAACGACATCTCCCGGTTCCGCGAGGACCTGTCGAAAGATTACGGTCCCTTCGACGGCATCTTTCGCGCGCTCAAGGACCAGTGCGTTTCCAAAGACAGCGGCGAGTACGAGTACGAGGTCTGCTTTCTCGGCAGCACGAAGCAGAAACCCAAGAAAGGAGGCGCACACACGGGGATGGGTAACTTTGCGGGCTTTGACGTCGAGTTCGTCGATGAAGGTGTCGACAAGGACGGGAAGGGCTTGGGCACGGGCAACAGGGTGGTCCTGAGATATGAAAATGGACAGCATTGCTGGAATGGGCCGAATCGGAGTACGCGCGTGGTGTTGGCGTGCGCGGAAAGAGAAGAGATCTGGAAGGTCAGTGAGAGTGAGAAGTGCGTGTATCGGATCGAGCTCGGCACGGCGGCGGTTTGCGAGCCCAGCGTCAAAAAGACTGAAGAGCAAGAGAAAGCCGATGATGCGACGAAGAAGGATGAACTGTAGCTCCGCCATGGCTCTACCGTACTAAGCTCTCACTGCCATCCAACTTGAGCCTTTTCCCGACCCCAAGGGTACTGTACTGCATGTGTACACAATGTGTTTTACAGTGCCATATCCCTCCGGACTTTGTACCTGCAGAGCCTACCGTTTATGAATTCGACTGCAGAACGGAGCATACGGAGTGGCACCTACAATAACCTCGGGAGACTCACGACATGTATCGGGGGGTGGCTGGAGAAGAGTGTTTACCCCCCCCCCCCCCCTTTGTGACTTTTCCAGGCAGAATAAGTCCCACAGGGCTCACCATTTGGTGCTCGCCACATTAGAATGTCCTGGAACCTTTGCTGCCGAAATCTCAATCAACACTTCAACTTTAATGGTTCTCGCGAATACGGAATACAACGTGCTAATAAATCGAAAGACCAGCGATGAAGGAGGGACCAGAAGTAGTGCCGGGTCCACGGTGACCAGTTGTAGTTCCCGGATGGCTTGCATCCGCGTGGAAGAGACACGAGGTCCGCAGAGGCGCAGGACGAAGATAGCCGCCTAGCACGGGGCGACGAGGAAGTTGCTGGTGTTGTGGTGGATGAGTACAAAGGTGAGTGGAAGGTGAACGGCTACAAAAGCGGCCAATAGATAGATAGCCGCGCGGATCTTCCACGGCTTGAACTGCCAAGGCACCAAACGCCCTTACAAGTAGAAGAGGCACGTTCAACTCGCTCGATGCTCACCAACGCGTTACAACTGATCGGCTATGTAATCGCTCACGCAGGGTCACTTCTGTCAAGAGCTTCGGAATGTTCCCCGTTAGCCAGCGTCGAGAATCTTTAAGACCTTTTCACCCAGATCCTCGTCTCAATCTGTCACTGACACCTCTCCCCGTCGCCTATTGATCTTGTTCGGCGTTTGACTACAGTACTGTAGTTTGAGATTTGCAGAACAGCTCGATGTGAGACTGTGTAGCCGATTGAACCTGCGCAAGCTTAGGAGCCTCCGGGATCTGTCTAAGAAAAGGACGATGCGATTGGTAACATCCATCACCATGATTCTTAGCACGGAAGTGTACAGTTTCTTCCGCGGAACCGGGAGGGCCTAGGTATGTCGCAATGGAAAGGAGTGTTTCGCAGAGTGACTGGTGCAACAGCTGCCCTGTACTCACTCAAGCATCCAAGGAGAAAATCTCCCTCCATCTAGCCTTCGGCAGCACAACTGACTCCGTTATGGCATTTCTTGACAGGTGAACTGGCTCGCTTGGGCGCACTGGCTGTTAGCCTCCTGGGTATTGCGTTACAGTCAAACGGCGTCCTTGACAACATCCTTACTGGAGTTTATCCGCACCCACGTCAACTTCGATATCGGCAATTGACTCAGCTTCGTGGCTGTGCTGGGCGGCCACTTTCTCCGAAGTGGCGTCTTCGGTGTCCCTTTGTGCTGCCATTCGATCGATTCACCAACATGTACTTCTGTTGGCGGCGAGTTCTGCCTCGGCGAATCATTGTATCGCCGCTTTCCCACCGCCGATATTCCACCCTAAAGGGCTCCGAGAGAGGTGACGAAGGCCTTGAGCCGTATCTAAAGAAAGAAAGCTGATGTGTCACAGACTGGAATGCGAACGAGGACTTCTTTTGCTTCTCACGGGGTCGCTTTATATGTGACGAAAGCTACAACATGTCCATGCGGAGCGCCCGGTTCGATATGAATCAGCTTGCGCGGGTTGCGGCCGGCTCCTCAGCAGCAGATAGATGCATAAGCATCGAAAAATGTCCGGACGGCATGTACAACAAATCTTATCTCTTCACAATGAGCGATGGCCGACAAGTGATTGGCAAGGTGCCCAATCCAAATGCCGGCATCCCCCACTTCACAACGGCAGGTGAAGTTGCGACCATGGATTTTGTACGTGCCTTCAAGCTCCATTCAATCTTTGGTTTCGCTGACGGACTTGGCGGAGGTCCGCAACGTCTTAGGAACTCCAGCACCTCATGTGTACACTTGGAGCTTTAGAGCGGATAACCCCGTTGGCGCCGAGTATATCATCATGGAAAAGATGCCAGGAGTTCAGCTACTGCAAGTCTGGGATCAGATGGCACTCACAGACAAGCTGCAGGTCATCACTCAACTCTTCAGATTTCAAAAGATGTGGCTGTCAGCTCGCTTTGAGAAAATCGGGAGCATCTACTACATGGCTGATGTCGAAGCGAGCGCGCCAGATGAGAGCCACTTGTTTACCGACACCAACGGAACGGAAGTGAGGAACGAGCGTTTTGCAATCGGACCAACAACCGGCCGAGACTGGATTGATGAGGGCAGATCCTTTTTGGAATGCGACTGAGGTCCCTGTAAGGTGCTTACTGTTACCTAGGCTGTTGAGGACTAATTATTTACAGGGACGTCCATCTCGGACTACTACCAAGCCGTGCTTCAGCGGGAGATCGACGCCACCGAGACTGCGCCGCGTCTTCCGAAGCAGATGGTGATGCTCTGCGCCCCAACGCTCTACCTGCCAACACGCGAGAAGAAGTTAGCTGCGCTGGAATCGTGCGCACATGTTGTCAGATACCTCCTTCCTTCCGATCCTCTGGTTTGTGCATCTCACCTATGGCACAACGACCTCCACGACGAAAACATATTCGTGGATCCCATGAATCCCACCCACATCACTGGCATTATAGACTGGCAGTCGACTCAGGCAGGACCTCTCTTTGAAAACACTATCGATCCTGGTATCCTTGACTATGAAGGACCGGACATTGAATCTCTGGAGAAGCCAACACTTCCACGAAATTACAAGGAACTATCCGGGGCTGACAAAGCTGCTGAAACTAAGCTCTACTACAGCAAGTCTCTCCTGGTGGCTTATCGCAGGCTCATCCAGAAGAACCCATCGCTGAAATGGACATCCGAGTTCCAGGCCTCTACCGCGTTTGCCATTCTCAAACTCTCGCGCCACCTGTTCGACGTCGGCGAGGCACATGTGCAAGCCCTTATGAGCGGACTAAGGCTGGAGTGGAGTGATCTCACCGCCGTACAGCAAGCTGGCGAACCCGGCTTTCCATTGAGCCTCTCCGAATCCAACCTTCAAAGGATTGAGAGTGACGCCGAAGCCGCCGATGCTGGTATCCAAGCAATGGACGAGATCAGGAGACGTCTAGGGAGATACTGGCCTGAAAAGGGCGCGGTCCAGGCTCAGCACTACGACGAAACGAAGCGGTTACTCAAGCAGGTAAAGGAAGAGCTCTTGCATGAGCTTGCACTCGATCCCGAAGGCATGAAGGTCTTCGAACAGTTCTGGCCATTTGATCAATAGGTCTCGACATGGTTGTTGAGAACGCAAAATACCCCGCAGCAATTTCTTGTGTCCGTCTTTGCAGATCATGTGTCCAGAGAATGTCGCATCCTGGACTTCCAGATCACGCAGGATGGTCGCAAGGAAGAGGCCGAAATAAGTGTCGCCTCTACATTGGCACCTGTGCTCGCGGCGGTCCAGCAAGAGTGCTAGGGAAAGAAGACACAAGTACCAATGCAATGGATTCGTCACCATCGGCATCTCCATCACAGTTGGAAATCATGATACCATCGACCTTGACCTTTCTGGTCTGCCTTACTGGGATCACTCTACTTAGCTATCACCGGGCAATGATCGTCGGCCCGAAGAATGAGACGGATGATGCAAAAGAGAGAGATCGGCGCTGTCGGCGAAGTAAGAACGGTCTTATGAGGAGCGAGAAAACTTCCACAGCTGCACCAGCATGGTCGTCGTGCGGGTCATGGTTACGGAGGTATTGGGTGGGTGATCAGTGCCCAGTCGCACACATTCTGCGTGGCATGGCGTTTGGCATCCCTATCAGACAAGACTAGTGGGCTTGTCTCAGAGACGCACCTGAAAGCTTGGATGCACCATCTTCCAACTTTGGACGGACAATTTCGTCCGACCGCAGACGTAGAGTAATTGGCTTGGCAGGCACACACTCTCCGGTAGGGAAGCGAAGGACGACGATCGCACCTACCTAGGTATCCTAGCCAGAAAGATCTCCTGAGCAAATATGGATTCAGAAAGCAAGGGATGACACTGTAGGTTCTGGAATGCAAGGTCGAGCTGCATTTCGACGAGGCTAGGACTTCGAGCCACTGGTACGAGGTAAAGAACAGTGATCCGAGCTGTACGGAGTATGAGGGATGAATTGGAATGTCTGCCAAGTTTCAAGCCGGCAAATGTGGGGAGATATTCTCCAGCGGTGCGTCAAAATTCTGGGTGTGTTGATGAGGACCTTAAAGAGACGACCAAATGCCGTGGGCATTGAACATCTAGAGCGAATGCAATGACGTCGCTTCCACCGGGCTGGCCGTGCTGGATTGGTGATATGTAAGCCGAAGCCTGAACAGAGGACATAACACCGAGTACTGCATGTGGCAATAGCGCAATGCATGGACCGGAGTAGTAATCACCAGCGTAGTGTAAAGCGGCAGCCACACGCACGAAGACAACGAAGGCTTACAAAATCTATAATTCTCCACGTATTGTCGGCCTGCGCTCAAATGTCTTCTGCGGCACACTTAGTCTTTCTGTACCACAATGTTGATTTTCAATCTTCCTAAGGAGGTGCTGGCACAAATTGTGCGGTACGCCAACTTCAATGGAGACCTCCCTGGTCTCAGATTGGTTCATCCGAGGCTTCTCGGGGTACTTGGGTACCAATATCGGCTGTTGCTTGAAGATACGTTGCTCAGATATGGTATCAGTTCTCGGACGCTGAGCCTCTATCGATCACAGCACGTGGGAAGACCGTTCCCTCACAGCGATCTCGATCCCGTCATGTTAGATGTCCTGGCGTTGGATCGATTCCTGCGGGAGACGGGCAGTCTGGCAGTGGACGCTGAACAGGCTCTTCGCCCGCTGCACAATGTGTTGGTTGAGCACCAGCCGAGCAGTCGAGAGCCCTTCATGCTATTCGCGGCCTTCACTCGAGTTCTGAACTCATCAACAACGGTTTCCCACACGACAGCCTTCGACTTGCTTGCTCCATCTCCCAATGGGGCCCAGACTTACTCCAAGAGATACTCGGACAGTTTTCTGCGTTTCCTGAAACAGGAGTTGACTTTAGTCGAGCTGGAAGCTATCATTGGTGCGATTAGCGTCTGCGCGATGAAACTCTGGAGCACCGTCTTCGTCTTCAGACCCAAAGATTCCACAGTCACCGGTTTCGGCAGTCTCAGCGGGGCCTCCTTCAATACAGATCAGGCGATCTTGACGGAGCATATAATCTGGAAGGGGCCCCTTTGGGCAGCGCGAGTACTGGAACTATACGGACCAGCAGAGACAGGGGCAACGTCAACTACTCAGGTGGACGCTGTCGTGGGCAACAATCTCATCAAGGACGCAGTCTGGAGAGGGACACGCGAGGAAGGAGCTCGACTGGCCGCCAATGGACTTGCGCGGCTGCTGTGGAAAGAGAGACAGGAGAGGATAGAGGCAAAGGCCAGTTCAACTGCAGAGAAGATCAGCATTACCGACATGAGGGTGAATCCATCGGTGTGGCGAGGCTCTTCGGGCGACATGTAGGCGCTGTTTGGAGGGAGGTGCTGATGATTGGACTTGGTGCAGTGAAACGACCAACAGTACTGAAGGTGAAAGTGAGCAGGGAGAACAGAACGCATAAGCGACGGTCATGTCGATATCTAGCCTGTCACGCCTGTCAATTGGTGAGATGTGGAGAGATGAAATGCAAGTCAACTGCAGGTGAACTGCAAGTGAGATGCAGGTGAAATGCAGGAGAGAAGACTTGGACGAGTTGGCATTTATTTCCAGATTAATTGTCCGCCGTCTGATAGGAAGATGAGAGCTGCGTCATGCAGGGCGCACGGTTTAATGAAAGAAATTCAGGAACCGGCCGATTCGGGACTAGAAGACCCCTAGCGCCTTGGCGTGTTTGTTTACCAGATCGGCCCCTGTCGCTGCAGGTGTCAACAAGCAAAGGAGTTCGCTTCCATCACCGCAACTTGTCGCCCGGCGCAACGTCAACGAGGGAACTGCTGACACGACCTTTCCACCACCAGGCCAGCCTGCTATAATCCTCATCCAGCTGTCTCATGGATACATGCATTTTGCGGTCCCCCAGCTTTACACTGTGCGCGTCGTCCATCATTCGAGTATCGAGCCATGACTATGTCCCTCACCGACACGATGCCTGAACCGCTCTCGTCACTGTCGCCTGCCAAACAGAACTCCCGATCGTCTCCCTCTCCGACCAAGCTTGATTTTCTCCAGAAACCAACATTAGAAGTTCTCACATCCCCGTTCAACATGTCGGGGGCTGCGGTCGCCCAAGCCGTGTCGATCGATAGCCCGACCGTTCTGCGGAACACGTCGAACCGTCCCGTATCCCCCTCTACGCAGAACGAGCCGCCTTCAAGTCCGAGAAAGCCACTGTCCCCAATAAAATATCGTCTGCAGGACGAAGTCAAATTTGAAAGCTCTCCTCCTGCCTCTCCTGCGGAGCCCACTGTACGATTCAATGAAGGCCTGACACGGGCGATTGACACAATGCAGAAGGAGGCAGACGTGGAAGATGACGTCCTGAATGAGTCAATCATGTATCACGCGCTCGACGAGGAGAATTCTGCGTCGCCCGATCGCGAAGAGGAGAGCAAAGGGGAAGCAGATACCTCAACTGTGAGCACGAACCTGGAAGACAGAGCAATCCAGGACGACACGGTGGGCGACCTTAGCACCATTTCTGCCATTCCTACGGACATGACCAGGTTTGCAAACCTGAGAAACTCCCCGGCCAAAGCGCAGCCAGACGGTTGGTCCCCGTCGAAACAATTAAGGACTTCGGTCGTCACCAGTACTCCTGGCACTGCTCAACGTCCTTTGCGACTGCTTTCAATGTCAAGGCGGAGTACGTCGTCAAACGAGGAGGACGAGGCAACCCCTCGAAGAAACCCCAATCTCAACGACTCGCCGACTGATCTTTTGAACTTTACTGGTCAAACAAATATTGTGATTCCTCCGCCGGCGTCTGCGTCGCGTCCAATCAGAAGAAGTCCGTCTGGCAGAGGAGGTTTCCCCATCAAAGTCAACCCTAGTCCCATACATCGATCACAAGCTTCGGTACATCGCGAACGAGCTTCAGGCCGCTCGCCACAAAAGCAACACCAAGCTCTTTTTGGGGACAGAGCGGTGCCATCGACGCCCGCTGGTCAGAGACACAGTATGTACGGTGCTGCGTCAGGCTTGGGTATGGATTTGTTGGACATTGACCTTGAACCGATGGCGACTCCACGCTCGATCCCCACTATCACGCCTCGGGAGCTGGAGACACTACGGTCGGAGCTTCAGTCGCGGATATCAGGTCTCGAAGCGACTCTGTCTGGAAAGGAGGCTGAAGTCATGGCGTTGAAGCGCGCTGTCACAGATGCTGAAGTGCGGGTGGGCAAGACAAGCGAGGAGCTTCGCAACGAGCGAGCTACTCGTGAAGAAGTGGAGCATGCAAAAGAGGACTTGGAGCGCCGGACTCGAGAGATGGAGGAGGTCCTTAGGGAGGTCAAACAGAACATCTTTCTCGAAGAACGTGAAAAGGAGAAACTGCGAAAGCAGGCTGAAGAGGCAGAACGGAAGACGGAAGAACACGAAGTGCGGATCCTGGAGCTACAAGCGTCCCTCGATACTCTTCGCTCTGAGCGTGTCAAGTCCACAATGAGCCCGGAAAAGACCGACGCCCCCGCCACTCCCGGCATGAGTGCTGATATCGATTTTGCGGTCAAGGACGCCACAGAAAAAGTGGCTCGAGAGTTGCATGCCCTGTACAAAGGCAAACACGAGCGTAAGGTGGCCGATCTCAAGGTGAGCTATGAGAAGCGGTGGATCAAGCAGGTGGAGCAGCTTCGGGCCGAACTGAAGGCGTCCCAGGACGAGGTGCTCAGACTGCAGACGGAAAAGGAAGCAACAATGAGCGGGGTCATTCCAGGCCAAAGTGAAGCCATTCACAAGATGGAAGGCCAGATTGAAGAACTTCGACGGTGGAATGAGGAGAACAGCGCTGAGAAGAAGATGCTGGAGGCCGAGACGGCAGGGCTTCGCAGCCAGGTCGAATCACTGACCTCCGAGACCGAGTCATTGCGCAAGGAAATCGAACAAGAACGGGTTGAGAAAGGCGATCTAGTGGCCCAGGTTGACTTGTTCCTCGCAATAAGCGCCCAACAAGAGGAGCAGCGTGCCATTCAACAGCCTCAACAGCCAGTCAGTCCGCCTCGCAGTGAGGACGGGAATGGAAGACCAAACTCGGCGTCGGCAGTGGCCAGTCCACACAAGTCCCGGAATAGCTTAAACGGTGCCGACCCCAGAAGCGGCTTGCCGGGCAGAGCTCGACCTGTGAGTATGCTACAGAAACCGACCGCTGGCAAATATTCTGGGATTCCGGCACCTGGATCTGGCCTGAAAGCGCCGTCAAGCAAGTCGGCTGGGTACGGCGGGCGGATCATGGAAGGCATTGCACGAATGGGAGCAGGTGGGAGATGACGCTCTGGCTCCGTGTCGATACGCACGTGGCTCTAGCGGCTGCCAGGCATCTGTGTATTAATGGTAATGACTAGCACGATTGACTTCTGGATGATCTTGACGACAAGCGATTTGCGATGGCGCTAGGGCTCTCAGTCGAGTCGTCTTATCGAAGTAGCGATGGAGGTGCTTGGTGGTATCCTCCTCGTCAGACACCGAGATCGAACCAAGCGGTCTGGGCGGAAGAGAATGTATGTAGAGATGCAGTGAATCTTCATCATTATGCACATTGGTTCTAACGGCCCGCCGGATACGGACGCACTCGGCCGTATATAAGCTTCACCGTAGCCTGCGTTATTTCTGTTCTGTGTTTGTTCCCTGTCAACACAGATTCGGCTACAACTTCCACACAAACTCAATTCTTCGCTTACTTGTTAGTCCTGCTAAGGTGGAAGTGCAGTCTCCGGCGACGAGGCACAAAGCTTTCCCCCATCAATCAGGCTCTGGCCGTTTACCTTCGACGCTGTTTCAGCCGTCGATGGTCCGAGACCCTAGATGCGGCACTATGTGGCCGGACACTGGAACCTGACACAGCTTTAGCAGCCGTCCACCCCTTCACACATCAAGCCAATCTCAAAGCGTCGCCTTCTCCCGTCGTCTATTCTGGCCGGTATCCCCACAGAACGGCTAAAAGCCCGATTCCTTAAATTGTGTCAAGAAGCCTGACCGTTCGATGACGTGCAAGAGCCGGTAGCTTTGAGATCCGAAGCTTCAGATCTTCGCTTAACGTGTACTGACCTATGGCGGCGGCGCTGATTGTCACCTGAAGCACTCTCAATCAAGCCACCATCAGCTCTTTCAGGAATTCCCACCATGGCCGAGACAGAGCAGCGTCTTCTGCCAGATCTCCCGTCCCAAAGCAGAATTCGGCAATGGGGAACAGTGATGAGGCAGCCGCGGGCATCTCTGATACGGAATGGTACGTACACAGGCAGGCATCGGATTTGTGAATAGGCAAAGTATATATGCTTCGTGTCTGTCCCCTTTACCATGTGTTTTCCTTCAGTCTGTTGATCCAGCTCATCCGTGATCCTTCGCTCATTCCGCTGCCTTCTCTTTTGCAATTCCTTCTCTTTCCATTCTATCAGTTCCTGGAGAACTGATCTGGTCTGGACCCATTTTGTGTTGCTAGATCCATTTTGCATCATTGAATCAACGATTCCACGCTCGTTACGATCCCTACGATCCTCACGATACCATTCGCACCAGCATCAACATACACAAATTCTTCTACAACATGAAGCCAATCTGCATATCTTTTCTGCTCGCAGCGGGTGTCGACCTAGCGGCTGCCCGAGCAGCCAACCTGCATACCAGGCGCGGTGGTGGTGACATGAACAGGCGGTCCTCTGTGTGGAACGCAAAACTCGGTCGACGTGAAGTGCCTCAGGAGCACTCGCATGAAAAGTTTCTTACCATCGTTAACACCAACCTGAAGCTGGACAACCCAGACAACATCGTGGACGCCGTCTTTGGACTTCTTGGCAATGCTGCTGCTTCGGCTGGCCAGGGCGACATTACGGACACCGACTGTCTCCAACAAGCCACGGCCGACCAAGCCTTCACCAATTCCAAAGCCAACGGAGACGTTGACGGCATGACGGCTGCCCTGATCGTAAGTTCTCCGTGCCTTTTTCAATGGCTCCAATGTGATTGTTCGCCCATGATCGGTACAGACTAATGATTATTCCCAGTATCGAGCACTCGAGCGCAACACTGGCGCTGTTGGACAGGCATCAGTTGCCTGCACGTCCATCACACCTGTCAATCCCGAGATTGCTGCCATCTCTCAGCATCAAGATCCAGCTTCTGACAATGCCGCCAGCATCAACAAGGATATCGCATTGGCGCTTGCCGTTCAGATTGCGAACATTGGCGGCAACCCACTGGACGCGCTGCAATCCGGCACTTTCGCTCCTGGTGAGATCGGCGACCCCACTGGCGCAGGCAATACCTGTGACGTGGTCGACGACCCTGTGGGTTGCATCTTCACCCAGAACCTGCTTGTTGAAGATGCCAGTGAAGACGAAGTGAACGCTGCGGTTGCTGCCTCGGCCACTGCGGTCGCAGAGTGTACTGCTCCCCCCGACGAATCTACTGCAGTTGCGGATACCAGCACCGCTGTCGAAGTTGCCAGCACAACCGTGGCTGGGGCGGCCACCCAAACGGCAGAGGCTGTTACTACCAGCACTGCAGCCGCGACGGGAACTGCGGCCGCCGACTCCGGGGCTGAGACAACCGTCGGGTCCTCCAATCTGGACTTGGGGTCTTGCGACAACCCTACCATCATCTTCGCAGACAATCTTGACGGCCGGAAAGAGCCTTCCTTCGCACCTGCCGACGAGACGACTTTCACGCACGGCTCCGCGCTGAACATCAAGGTCATTTCTGACTTCGTCTGTAAGTTTGCTCCATCGCTGTATCGCGTGCCGTGTGGTGGTGGCTAATATGTCAAAAGGCCAACAACTCGAAACGAAATGCCAGGCATCCCAGGAGGCCATCGACGCATGCAATCAGGGAGCGACCGCTGCACAGGGCGAGACAGGCCAAGCGGCAGCTGACGCTTTCAACCAGGCACTCGGCTTCTAGAGCCATTCGCAGTTTGGCTGCGAGACATGAGACAGGGGCTCCTACATTCAAGTAGTCTTCAGTGACCATGTGACTGTATGCAACCGGCGTAGACGAGATGTGTAGCATTGGCGGCATGAGCGACATTTGCAGTTGCGATGAATGCAGCGCTTGACTGTCACCTCTGGCCCAGAGATTATACCTTTTACCGATTAAGCAGCTGTCCTGATGTGATGGTTTGTTTCAAGCAGTGGCAGCGGACATCAACGGCAAGCTCTGCCATCCCCCCACGCAATCGATCAGTCCGTCACGCCATTGACTTTGTGAAACCCGTTGAGCCTGGGCAGGATAGTTGTACTCTCCTTCAGACGAGACTCGCTGGGTGATCCATTCGAGGCTCGTCGGCCAACTTCAAGACCCTCTGAACCATGACTTCACTGTATCCTAGGTAGTTCGCCGGATCACACAGTTTAGCTAGCTCTTCCCTACTCATCTTCTTGCTGATCTCCTCGTGCTCACAGAGCAGATCCAGCAATTGTCGATTTTCCACCTGTGACTTGCGACACAGATCGTATACCACATCATGGGCGTACTGACGGCCCAGTGTCTTACCCAAGCCCATCATCACGGCTTCACTCACGATCCCACCCTTTGAAATATCGAGGTTTTTCTTCATTGCATCCTCATGTACTTCCAGTCCGGCGATCAGCTCCGCCGTCTGCTTCAACGACGCGTGAGTCTGGGTCGAGATCTGCGGCAGCACAATCCATTCTATCTCCCAGGGCCCGGTGCTCCTCTCGTGGTCCTCGACCATTGCCTCGAAGAGACTCGTGCTCAACTGCCTCACCGTGGCGGCCATGGCGGTGATGTACGCGCACGAGATGGGATTCCGCTTCTGCGGCATCGTGCTGCTGGACCCCCGATGCGGCACATACGGCTCCGACACCTCGGCCACCTCGGTCTGCATCATCAGCTTGACGTCCAGCGCAAACTTGGCGCACGTGCTTGTCAACATGGCGCACAGGGATCCAAACTCGGCAAAGCGATCCCGCTCCGTGTGCCACGCAATCTCGGGGACCTTGAGGTTCAGATCCTTGGCCAACTCCCTCTGACACTCCAGGCCCAACAGCGGCTCCTCCACGCTGGGGGGCAGCGTCGCCAACGTGCCGGCCGCGCCCGAGAACTCCAGCACGGTCAAGCGGGTCTCCACGTCCTTCAACCGCTCCCTGTGCCGCAAGAACGTGGCCAGAAGCCTCGCGAGCTTGAAGCCAAACGACATGGGCACGGCGTGCTGCAGGTTCGAGCGCGCCGCCATGGGCGTGGCCTTGTGCGTGTCGGCCAGGGCGCGCAACGACGCAATGATGGCGTCGAGCTGCTTCTCGAACAAGCTCAGCGTGTCCCACAGTTGGATCACCGTCGCCGTGTCGGTGACGTCCTGCGTCGTGGCGCCCCAGTGGGCCCACTCGCCCAGCCCCGGTTCCACACCGTTGACGTGCCGGACCAGTTGCTTGACCACGCCCAGCACGGGGTATCCGACGAGTTCGGTCTGGTGGCGCAGCTCGTCAAAGTCCACATTCCGGATGTTGAGGCAGAAGGCGATGATCTCGTCGGCGGCCTTTTGCGGGATGATGCCCAGCCGGGCCTGGGCTTTGGCCAATGCGCCCTCGAATGCGAGATAGCATTGCGTGCGGGTCTTGTCGGACCAGATGGCCGCGGACTCGTGCGTCGACAGGATGTTGCCGAAGATGACGGAGTCTTGCACGGATGTCATGGCTAAGTGGTCCTCCTGGCGATGATAGAGATCACTGATGTCAAGAGTACTTATCTCCTACTCGTAATCAAGAAGCCCCAAGGCGTTATCCCTGAAGGTTGCTTTGTCGCGTGAGATGCGGAGGATGCCTAGACACTAGACACTAGGCCTGTTGTTCCTGAATCGGCAGCAGAGCAGAGCCTCGTTGACAGATAATGAGGTCATTCTACTCCGTACATTGGAGGCCAATCATTGCCAGGAGGTTCGATTGAGCAGCCGGCAGTTATGCGATTGGATCTACCAGTAGAGAACTCGTACTCGTACGGAGTACTGGGTACATTCGTTCTCCCCCTCATCGGTAGAAGGATCCGGAGAAATAATTATTCCGTTCCGAGCCCGGACATGACGTCGGCTTAATTCCGGCCTCGGATTCCCGCATCCGGCACATCTTCCCACATCTTCACACATCTTCACCTGTTCTCGTATCTTCAATCTCGGTCTCGTACCCATGAGACAGTCAGGGCTGGCTACATTACGGTCGACCATCGGCAAACTCGCGAGTCGGACATTCACTCCAGCTCCTTTAGCTCCAACATCTCGGTCCAGTGTACAGTACATATCTGTCCGAGCTCATTCTCACACTACAAGACTCGCCCAGTCGAGCGCGTTCATCTTCCACCCACTCCTATACACACACAAGAAATCAGTGACATCTTCATACCCATACTGTGTCACCCCGGGAATCCACGTCACAATGGCAACATCAACACGCTCGTCCAAGCGCCAAAAGACCGACGGCTCGGCAGCGGACTCGGGACCAACTTCCGGGACGAGCAACGGCGACTCCTACCGTCTAATCTACTGGCCTGGCATCCCCGGACGAGGCGAACACATCCGCCTGGCCTTCGAAGCCACCGGCACAGCCTACACCGATGTTGCCAACACGACAGACGAGGGCGTCAACGCCGTGCTCTCCCAAATCAGCGACAAGAACCTCGGCGACGAAACCAACCCGCCGCCTCTCGCCCCTCCGATCCTGCAACATGGCACTGTGCTCCTCTCCCAGACGCCCAGCATCCTCTCTTACCTGGGCCTGCGACTCGGGTTGGTCCCCGACCCCAATGAGGACCCAGCAGGCCTGTACCACGTCAACGCCCTGACGCTGACGGCCCTGGACGGCCTGTCCAACGAACCGCACGACACGCACCATCCCATCGCGCCGGGAGCGTACTACGAGGAGCAGAAAGAGGAGGCCAAGAAGAAGGCCGCCGACTATCGCGCCGTCAGGCTGCCTAAGTTCCTTGGGTATTTTGAACGGGTGCTCAAGGGGCCGGCGTCACAGGGCGGCCAGTATTTGTACGGCGGAAAGCTGACCTACGCGGACTTGGTCCTCTTCCATACGTTGGACGGGGTGAGTTTTGCGTTTCCCCGCCGTGTGCGCCGCTTGAGGGAGACGGGGGATTATGATGCCGTGTGGGGTCTCTATGAGCGCGTCAAGGTTCTGGAGAAGGTGAGTGCGTATCTGGCCAGTGAGAGGCGCAAGGGGTATAGTATGGGGATTTATCGGCATTATGAGGAGTTGGACGACGAGGAGTGAGACGGACGACCGAAGGGGGTCGAGGAGTGAGAAATGAATCAGACGAACCATGATATAGATGATGGGAAGTGAGAAACGAATGAGACGGGCCCTATAATGGGACGATGCGTGATGGGTGATCGGAGACCAAGTCGTAGTCTAGACGAGTCGAGTCGAGTCGAATGAATCTGATGGTCCGGTATGCGCTCCTCATCTATGTACGAGAGGTGCGTAGGATAAGGAGAGGAGCATGGCAGCGCGGAGCAGACTAGAGCAGCCTACTGTAAAGGACAGACTACACAGATTACGCAGACTCTATAGACCTGAACATACAAGAGACCCACAATCTCCGATACAGTACGTAGTCACCAGGATGTACAGTAGCATGTCATGCCACGCCTGTAAACTAACCCTTGCACACTTCCTTTCTTGACGAGAGGACCAGTCTCGGTACTACTGCAGCTCGTTCTAATCCACCAAGGTAACTACTCACTGTACTCTACTTTGCAGTGTACCATGAACAGCCCGCGTGTCGACGTGACCTAAATACCTACTGTACTGTACAGTGCTATCGTTCCATCCCATTGTTGACTCCCGTCACTACCCCGGTACCTACCCTAGTATCCTCCGCGTGTACCGTTCTCAGACGTATCCTTCTGGGGGGTTCGAATTCTAAGACTGCCTCTCGCATAGCAAGCTAATGATATAGTTGATAGTCTAGGTTCTCGGGGTGAACCATCATTCTATTTATTCACGTCCGTGTACTACATTACATTACACCACATTACATACCTAGTTACATACCTAGGTACCTAAGGTAGTAGTAGATCCACTCCCTTCCCGGAGACAGCAACAGCAAGAGCTCTCGGAGAATCGGAAATAGGAGAACACTGAATACCAGATGGGGGGAACCTGCGTAATCAATCACTAACTAACTAACGCAGTTACTCACTTAACACGGCATCTTGGTCGAGCATAACAGCGGGAGCGGTAGTTATTAGTCGAGCACAGCAATGGTGACGTGGGTAGGCGGTAACGAGGTAGCCAGGAGGTACTCAAGTGGAAGGTGAGAAGCACGGTAGAATGCAGGTGGACATCGAGAAGATGAGTGCGTACGGTATTCAACTAGCCAGTAGGTTGTCTGGCGTGCATTTCCTCCCCCGGTCCTGGGCACGGGAACGGGAATGAGAAAGCCCGCTCATGGCCCATAGTTATATGTACTGTAGCTGTCGACATAAGAGGTCGAGAGTGCGTCTTTCTCAGATACGGTAATTAGACCACGATCAGACTATTAGAATGGGCTTCAGTCCTGCCTACTGTACCACCGCAAGAAGCGTAGGGAGTTCCTCTAGTCCATCTCGTTTAGGCTCCTCTAGCTAAAAATCCCCGGATAAAGCATGGTGCTATTCGCATCCATGTAGATCCAATCCCTCACCACGGCGGTCCCGTTGGACAAGGCCTCCTGCTGCTCGTCCGTACAAGTATCGCCCACGGCCCAGGTGTAGCACACCCACAAGGGCTCGGGCGGGTCCTCGTTCTTGATGGCCCAGGTATCCTTGGGCGCCGTGGTGGGCGTGCCGTACGAGGCGTTGCGCGCGACGTCGACCTCCCCCGTGGCAATGTCCCGGTTGAACAGGGCGCGGTGGAAGATCCGGTACGCCGTCTCGGGCTGGTAGGCCGGCACCTCGTGGCCGGCCTGGTAGACGCGCGAGAAGCTGAAGTTGCCGTACTGGCGCACCTGGCCGCCCGTGTAGCTGGCGTTGGTGCGGATCGGGACGTACCCTGCGGCGTGAAACTCGGCGGCCTCGCCGTGGTTGACCGCGAGGGACACGGCCTCGCCACCGATCCAGTTGCACGCGAAGTCGCGGTCGCCGTACACGAGCGTGACCTTGATGTGGTTGTCGAGCAGGTACTCGAGGTCCTCGAGCCAGCCCGGGCGCGGGTAGTCGCCGATGCTGCGGAACGCGGCGGCCACGACGCTGCTGCTCTGCGTGAAGTTCAGGGGCACGCCGAGCGCGCGCTGCACGTGCGCCTGGTTGAGATACCCCAGATAGAAGTTCGAGGGGATCGGGTCCGGGTCCCGCGTGGCGAAGTCGTAGTAGTTGCGTCCGGACAGGCGGGTGTACAGGTCGCGCACGTGCGTCGTGCAGTACGACTCGGCCGCCTGGCACACGGCGTTGACCGAGCTGTTGAGCCCGCGCTGCGTGCTGTCGTACTGCAGCGACAGCGCGCGGCACGTGGCGATCTGGTCGCGACACCCGCCTTCGCCGAAATAGCCCTCGGTCATCTGGTCGTAGACGGTCTCGTTGACGGCCTGGATCCCATACGTGTTGTTGTACGCGATGTGCGGGTACGACGGCCACTGCACCTGGCGGTCGATGCAGCCGTTGATGATCAGCAGCGTGTCGAGGTGGATGATGTACATGTCGCCCACGTCCGTCCACGTGCCGTTCTCGATCTTCTGGTTCTGCTCCTCGAAGAACGCCGCGTACGAGGGGCCGTATCTGCCGCCGTAGGATTCCGTGGCGATGGACACGCGGCTGTCGTTCGGGTGGTAGCCCGGGAACTCCTGGAACCACGTCTGTGCAAAGTGCCAGAGTGCGCGTGCGCCGTTGAGGCTGCCAAACGCCGTCGAGTTGGCCTTCTGGCTCGGATACGTCCCGACGAGGAAGGTCGCGTTCTGCTCGGGGATCGGGTCGGTGGCGTTCAGGAGGCTGACGTCGCCGCTGAGCAGGTCGTGCGTGATGTTCTGGAGCGCGTCGTAGGACAGCCCGACCTGGACCGGCTGGTCAATGTAGAGCATGTTGACTTCGTTGTTCCACGACCATGGGTTGAGCCGCGTCGAGTTCGAGTCCGGGTTCACCATGCAGGGTCCGTTCTCGTCGAACAGCCCCAGGAGCGACGAGCTGCCGGGACCGCCGTTCATCCAGATCGACAAGGGTGCGTTCAGCGGGTCCTTGCGAGCCTCGAAGAACCAGAAGAACGTGTTGATCGGGTACGGTTGCGCTTCGTTCAGGTCGCCGAGCGTGCCGGCCGGTAGGTGGACGTATCCCGCGTACGACTTGACGCCCGGCGTGGTTTCGCATATCCCCGGCTGTGAGTCCACAGACGGTCAGCCAACATGCCAGGCTATCGAACTAGGTGGCAAGCAGCACCACTCACCTCCTTGTATGATATATACACGCCATCGTCGAACTTGGACTTCAGTATCGTGACACCTTCAGGCTCTGGTGGGAACTGAGCAGACACGAGCCGGGCCCCGAGGAGAGCTATGGCAATGAAATGTCCTTGCATGGCTGCTCAGGAAGCCGATCGAGACGTGCCGTGCGGTGCTCGTGCAGTCACCCTGGCAGATACACATATATATACACATATAAATACACATATAAATACACAATCACCGTCCATCGAGGCAGTGGATGTGGGGAAAACGAGACTCGGGCACCACACGTCCTACTGTACCTGTGCTTCCCTGCCCTTCCCGTTTCCCTGTTCGATGTGACTCTGCCTGTGTCGATACTGGCAATGCCATCTTGGCGCGTCGAGGTCAAAATCCACGAGCTGCCTGTCTGAGTCTGGTGGACGGTCGATCGATGCAACCGGCCAGCTCACCGGCAGCAGTGCACGCACATCACTTGCCCTGTTTCCACTTTGCCGAGACGTCGATCACGATGTTGATAGGTTGTGGTGCTGCGTGCGTGATCCGATCTTCCGCTACGCCTTCTTTTCCTGAGCTGTGACGGGATGTGGCCGGAGAAGCGAGCGCGACCTGACAAGCTCTACGGTTGATAAGAATTGTGGTGATGCTTGAAGGGAGATAAGCTCAGTCACTTTCTGCTAGAGTATGCACAGCGACATGCACAGCACCTCCTGTCGATATTGCCGAACCTGTGACTTCCGGGTCAGCCAGGCATAACACAGTACACACGAGAACAAGCTCTAGGGAGAAGTGCGGATCGGCTAATCGGCTAATCAATTGCATATACATATATAATATGGATTGAGATTCCAAGGCCGGTTACCGCCGCTGCATACTGTGAGTACTGTCTGCATCATATGTGAGTAACGCCAGTGTCTATGTGACAGTGCTCCCATACGGACGTCGCAAGTTCTCCAATCACAGCCGACTACCTGTTGTCAGGTCGAACTTTTGCCCGACAATCCCCTCGCTGAGGCTCCAGAGTCGCTCTGCGGCCTTCACATCCTTCGCCCACCCCGCAGGTTCCGCCAACTGACAGTCGCTGAGGTAAATCACCTTTGGATCCGACAGCTTCGGATCCAGAGCCGCGACCAAGCTCGTGGCACTGCCCTGATCGAGGTCCTTCCAGAAGGTGCTCGTCTTCTCAATCATGGCCAGATGCTTCTCGTCCAGGTTCCGCGAGAGATCTGTCCAAATGGACCCCGGGTGCGTGGCTATCGCTTGCAGGCCTGCGCTCGAAAAATGCTCGTTAAGATACAGTGACATCAGGATATTGGCAGTCTTGGATTGTCCGTATGCCACGAATGGCACGTATGTTTCCCCTGGCGGAGGGTCAAACGACACTCCTGGTCGGGACATAGGTCGCTCGTCGGCCGGGATGTCTTCCGGCCGTTTCTGGAATTTATGGTCGCTGAATCTGATCGGGGAGATGATGTGGCCTTGACTTGTCACGTTGACGACCCGGGTCGACCCTGGTGGAGACTTCTGCGCCGCCTTGAGAAGTTTCGGCATGAGGAGGTTTGTGAGAAGAAACGGTCCTACATGGTTGGTCCCGAACTGCAATTCGAGCCCGTCCTTGGTGAACTCGTGCGACGATGTCACCACGGCGGCGTTGTTGATGAGGATGTCAATGTGCTCGACTAGGCTGTTGATACCCTCAGCGGCCCTGCGGACGGAGTCTAAAGACGACAGGTCTAGCTGCACTGCTTCGATTCGTAGATCAGGATGCTCGCTTTTGACCTTGGAGACGACCTCTTCGATTTTCGACTTCGTCCGCGAAGCTAGGACAAGCAACGAGGGCGAATGAGCGGCAAGGGCTGTTGTCATGGACTCGCCCAAGCTTTGGGGCGACACGCCGACGATAACGACTGTAGGGACATAAGCCAGGTTACTCAGGGTGGAATCCACGTCTGGACCAACCTGTTCTGCCTCGGATGGCATCGCTAAATGTACGAGCAACTGCTGTTGCGGTGGTATATCGATCAAATCCGGGATGTGACACCATGTTGGACATGGCGGGCTATGGATACTGGCAACAGAAACTGGCCTACAAGCAGGTCTGAGCCTAGGACTCTAGCGGACAGACCTAGTCGCTTCGAATTTGTCGTGCGCAGTGACCAGTGCCTATATCTCGCCTCTGCTCGGAGAGGTGGTGCAGATCCAAGCTGAGAGACCGATGATATGATGCCAACGAGAGATGCTAGGAGACACCAACACCAGACGAGATCCGAAATTCACAAGCTTTGTAGCATCGCTGGAAATGGCGAAGCCAAAGCACATGTCCCACTGGTTCGGACATAAATCTTCCGCTGGACTATATAGAAGGCTGATCGCCCGGATTCGCAATCTAGAGTCGGAGATGTTGGCCGGTCTCAGCATCGCACCAGGGGTGGGGTCCATGCCGATTCTCGGCGCCGAAGTCGATACTCCCTACTGGGTATGCAATTACCTCGTGTGGTAAATCAGCGGACTCCGGAGACGCGCTGTTGCACTGTATCCTGTAGGCCTGACTTGCGTAATGCACCATTATCGTCGAACGAACTATTGGAGGCGAGATGGGGGAAACGATGGGGTGAACATCTCGTTGTGGAGAGACGTCCACAGCAGAGTCGCTGCCAATCAGCTCTCACTATACGCCATCCATTGTCCGTTTTGGTACAATGCATGGGACGGCAGTTCAGTTGGAGAAAGCTTAGGCCTTCCGCACCGTGACTGGACCGCTCTCGCCAGCAGAGTTGATTGCACGTGAGGACAACCGACAGGATCGATCGTGGGGCTATATCGGCCTCGTGCGGCGATCGAAAGGGTCCTTGGCTCATTTAATATGGACTGCCCGCCATCAAAGTCTTTCCAGAAGCTTTTCTTACCGTCCTACTTTGTCTGGACCCTGCCCGTCAATCCCATCGCCAGAAAGCGGAAAGACACAGCGTGCAGTAGTCCCAAACGGTAGAACGGAATTGAAGCATATCAAACATGATCATGGCTGCGGAGGAACCGTTCGCAAAGTCCAAAACCGGCGTCAAGGTCATCATCGTCGGAGCAGGTGAGCCACCCTATATCATTCTGGCATGGGCGAGATGCTGACAGCAGACAGGTTTCGGTGGCCTCACTGCGGCGATCGAGTGCCATCGCCAGGGCCACGATGTTGAGATTTATGAGTCGTTCCCAGTGCTCAAGGTTCTCGGAGATATAATATCCTTCGGCTCAAACGCCGGACGGATATTTCGTAGATGGGGTGTCGATGGCTCGATAGCCAAGAAAATGAGAGCATTGAGTATTGACCTCGTCAACCACGGATTCAAGATCCACAAGTACACCGGAGAGCACATCATCACCCAGAAGACACCTCCGATGGACCCCGATGCTCCTGTTTTCAACGGCCACCGAGGAGAGCTGCACGAGGTCATCTTCAACTACGCCCGCGACGATCTCAAAATCCCCATCCATCTCGGACAGAAGGTGGAGAAGTACTTCGAAGAGGACAACAGAGCCGGTATTCAACTCGCGGATGGGGAGCAAGTCTGGGGCGATGTTGTCATTGGCTCGGATGGCGTGAGATCGAAGGCACGAGAACTTGTTCTGGGATACTTCGACAAGCCGAAGAGCAGCGGTTATGCCGTTTTCCGCGCATGGTTTCCCAACACCGACATGCTCGCCGATCCTCGGACCGCGCATTTCTGCAACAACGGCGACACCTTTCAGGGCTGGATTGGACAGGATGTCCATTTCCTTTTCTCGACCATCAAGAACGGAAGCGACTGCTGTTGGGTGTTGACACACAGGGTACGTTCGGGCCAACTGGACGTCCGACATTGCTGACTATTGCGCAGGACGAAGCAGACATCGATGAGTCATGGTCCTTCCCTGGCAAGCTGGAAGACGTTTACAAGGTGTTTGAGGGCTGGGACCCTCTCTGCAAGACTATTGTTTCCAAGACTCCAGAAAGCCACCTCGTCGACTGGAAATTGGTATACCGAGACCCGCTCCCAACCTGGGTCAGCAAGGGAGGCCGGATTGCATTGTTGGGTGACTCGGCACATCCATTCTTGCCAACGTCCGCGCAGGGTGCGACGCAATCAATGGAGGACGGTGTCACCATCGCTGTCTGTCTCCGACGGGCGGGGAAAAGCCAAGTCCAAGATGCCGTTCGGACGTATCAGAGAATCAGGTGAGAAGATCTCGACATCGGCTTTGAATTTGCACTGATAAACCTGGACAGATACGACCGCGTCAAGGCAGTCCAAAAGACCGGCGAGACAACTCGAGACATGTGGCACAAAGCGGACTGGGATAAAGTCAAGGAGAACCCTGAATCGGTTCAATTCCCGCGCGAGGACTGGATCCACACGCATGACGCCGAGAAGCACGCCGAGGAGGTCTTCGATGAAAACTTCGCTGCAGTGAAAGCTGGAGAGAAGGGGGTCCCGGACAAGCTTGCAAGCGGTGGAGACAAAGTCGGCACAACCGCGACCGTGAACGAAGTGTCTGTGGCTGGCGAGGTGGAGGTGAATGGTACTCACTGAGCACCTTTGAAGTTCTGTACGAAGGCTGAGATGATGGCAGAGTCGTCCCGCTTGCGTTCGAAGCTGTGATCATCTGACGCATGGAATTGGTGTTTCAGGGGGTTGGCGAGGAGTCTGGGAAAGACAAAGGTATTTCTGCTGCGCTTGTTGGAACTGACACAGTGAAGCGGCGAGATTTAACTGAGCCTCTGTAGCATTTAGGTCCTGGGTATCTTCAAATATATCTACGTCTCGAGATAGAAGAGTTGTGTATGCTGCTTGAGGCGCGTCTGAGGTGAAGGGAAATCAGTGCAGAAACCCAAAAATTACTAAAGTTGTTAATGCGGTGGAGCATCCGTTGACTCAGCGCAGCAATTCCGGGCGGTACGTCGGTCTACATCTCATGAAGCGCAGCTAAAATTACTTGGCCTGCGATTGACGAGCATCATTCGAACATTCTCATCCCAGCTACGGATGCCACTCCTTTTCTGCTGACATGGCGGTCCTTGCTCAAAAGCCATGGGAATCCAGCGGTTGTTACAAGATCTTCTCCCTTACGCTGAACGAGTTGTTCTCGGCGCCTCGCCTCGGTCGGCCACAGAGACAACCCACGTTGAAGCCTTGATAGTGGACGGGCCTTCGCTTGTGTACTTTGTATATAACAGGCTGCTGGCATACCATTGTCTCAATTGTCTCACTTCTTTTGCTCTACCACCGACTTACGACGAAATCAACCAAGGAGTCCGTCAGGTTCTGGACGATCTTCAGATCCATGGCATCACCATCGCACACATCTTCTTCGATGGGGGCTTGCCCAACTCTAAACGGGAGATTCGTCTCGATCGAATGGAGAAGGTGCGCCAACAACTTGATGTCTTTCGAAGAGCCCACGCAGACTTCCCACCCTTTTCAGCTTCTTCCTCTGGAGTGCGGGATTTCGAGAAAGCGCTTTGGGAAACCTCCGGGATTTCGACGAGAAGGTCGACTCTACCAGCTCCACCGTTCATGGTGGCAAGTGTCATCGAGGCGCTGAGCGCCACTGACCGCCCATGGTCAAGGCGCGTCCATATTGTTCCTGGTGAGGCAGATCTGTATTGTGCCCGGGCAGCTCAAGCCTCCACAGCGAAAGTAGCAATTCTCACCAACGACGCGGATCTGGCAGTCCATGAGCTGGGCGAGAGAGGCTGCATGGCTCTGCTGCATTCACTCGAGAAGAGGCAGCGGAGGTCTGCGACGAAGGGCTTAGAGTACACAGTCCTTTGTCTGGACCCGGCACACACTGCGTCGAGGATGGATGTCGACTCTCTCTTTGCATTTGGGTTTGAGCGCTTTCTCGACTCCAGCGTCTCCACCGCGGTCATTCGAGAGCGGGCCAGGGAGCCCTCGAGCCTGGACAGAATGAAGAGCGAGTACAATACATTTCTAGAGGAGTTCCTACCGTCGATGCCCGCCGACACTCAGCTCAAACTAGAGGGTCTCGATCCCCGGACCGCAGAGCTGATTGTCGGGCTAGACGACTCGCCTCACCTATATTTGACTCCAATCTTCGAAGACCCACAACGCGACTCATCATGGTTATATGGAGCAGATATTCGACAGCTCGGGTACACCCTTCTACTGTCCTCGACAAGGTCAAGAAACGAGACACCGAGACAGCCTGCCGCTCCTGTCACGGAATATGCCAGAAAAGGACAGCGGATCGCATCTGCCACCGTGACGGGTCTCAAGCCAGCCGATACCATTCCTCGGATGGCTGAACTGGAAGCCCTTCTCGCCATATATGTCCCACCCTCCTCTCCAGGCACGGCAGTCAGTGACACGACAGCACTGCCAGCATGGTACGCCCTTGCCATTTGCCTGGTACACCAAGAAAAGGTCAGACTCGGCAAGTCATTCATAACTTTAGCACAAGTTGTGCGTCTTTTCGGGCTGCCTCAGACGCCTGCCTTCCCCTTCAAAACTCCTCCGAGAATATCTTGGGAGGACGTTCACCTCCTAGCAAATACCCAGGCGGTGCTCTACTCTCTCCGAATGCTCTACCAAATTACAAGGTACATCATGAACCAACTGCAGGACCCTTCTGAGTCTGCAGCTATGGCTTCTTCGGATTCTGGCAATGTCGAAGAACTGTCGACGGGAATAGCAACTCTTCATAGCACGCTGTCGAATATGCCTCCCATAGCAGACCTCTTTCTCGACATACCTCACTTGCGTTCGAAACTGAGTGAAGGAGATATCGAGACACGAAACTTGACGATCCAGCGTCTGAGAGCCGTGCTTGAGCCGACAGGCCAAGCTGAACCCGGGATCCGAGAAGTGCTATATGACGAGGGATATCAAGACACCAGTACTGATCATGCCGAAGCGGTGTGGGTATCAGCTAAGCCGAAGAGGAAGAAGAGGAAAGGGGGACGACAGCTTGAAACACAGATCATCCCGACCAAGACCACGAATATCTTCAGGCTGTTATCAGACGATCCGGGCTAATAGCCTTGTCTGAAATCTATTCTATCTAGACTGGCAGTGTGATACTGCTTCATTTCGCATCATTTCACCGAACGCCCGAGCACCGTCATGTGGTAGATATCGAGATGGTCAGAAGCGTGGGGCCGACGGATCCATTCTTGCTGACTGACTGAGCGAACGTGAGGCCTGTACGGCGGAGTGCAGGGAGATGATCGTGGGTTCAGTGAACCGGACGTGGGTTAGCGACGTTGAAGCCCGACTTTGTAGTGTCGGAAAGAGAAATCTCCATCACGGTTGCGGCAACGCTGTTGACTGGCAGCCAGCAAGGAGATTCGTCAAGAGCCGGGAGCGCGCCAATTGTCGTGGCCGTCTGACTTCGGAAATGTCTTCTCGAAGAACGAGCTGTGCGACAAGATGCGCACCTGGTGAGCCAGGGGCGCCAGTCAGCACGACGCAATATCTGACAAGTCTCGTGGCACAGGCACGCGTAAATGGATTGTTCCATCTACTCAATGATGTCGCTGACCTCGATGGACTTGTGGTCACGGAAAATGATGATGGCCGCTGCCAGTTTGGCGATACTCGGGTACTTGAATACAACCATCTGCGGTAATGTGTTGCCATCCATTTGGATCTTCTTCAGGATCCTGGCACGAAGTCCCGTCGGCTGCAGGGAGCCGTCATACAGAGAGAACAAGTCAATGTCCTCAGTCAAGACTGATTCGTCGTCGTGAGGACAAGTATCCAGAATTTGTACGTGGAGGAACTCACGCAATTCGGGCTACGAGAGCACAAGAATGTCACCGATCCACTACCCCCGCCGTTGGTATACCTCTCCGATTGCCTTCTGAAAGGCTCGATAGAAAATATGGCACATTGGTGAATCGTTGAAGGGTATGCAGGGTCAGGGGGCAACACTCGGATCATAATAATCTCTTGACAGTCTTGCATATGCAGGCAGCGGCTTGTTCTCCACCATAACGGTTAGCCGTAGCGCATCAATCAGATCCCCTGACTGCATAGCTGCTGCCTCGTCGCAAGCAATGATCATCCTGTTATTGCCATGACCGTCCCGGGTTTTGAAGGGAGATACTTTTCGATCTTTTTCACACTGTTTGGCGTCTAGGCGTAAGTGCTGTTGTCGCAAAGGGAAGATTCGCCCCTTGGACTAACGTCAGTCAGTTTATACAACGTGAACTATGCATGGGTATCATGCTTCGTTCTCCGACCAAGGGCAAACCGGGCCGCTTCTTTGGCGATCGTCAAACCTGATAAGTTGTGCGGGGCCACGCATTTCTACATCTCGTACCTCTTCCGCGATGGCGCCCAGCCTCGGTCGCACACGGGCGGCTCGGTGCTGACGGTTGCTTGTTTTCGTCTGCGGCGCCACAAGGTGTGGTTATTCGGCTCGTACGCCCATGCGATCGATCTTCCGGCTCTGGCGAACAAGGCAGAGTAGATCAGGATCTTGTTTATAGGAGCACAGGGAAACAAGGTCCGTCGCCATGGAGAGTTCGGTCGTGGATATTACTGTTATGGTTGGTGCAGGAAAGGCAAGTGGTTGCTAAAAAGTAACACTGACGGCAAATTCTGCTCAAGGAAGGGCAGACTCGGACATGTAACAAGCGTGACGGACGATGAAGAAATAATCATGGGTACTGTAACTGGGTTCGAAGTATCGAAGTGAGGTGCCGGTGAAAGCGAAATGAAAGTTGAGCACTGAATATTCGGTGCCTCACCGCCAAGCCTTTCGGTAGCACCACCACGCGTTTGGTCTTGCCCGTACACGCTCTCATCTAATTAACAATTAATAGGTGATCAGCACCCTCGATGCACACTATATTTTCCCCCAGAGACAGTGAGGAGTGTTACATGCGTTCATTCACTGGTGCACTCGAAGAAGCGTGCCGCCACCACTCATCTGAAGGCGGGGCAAGTGAGGCTTCATGCCCATACCGAACTTCGCAATGGCGCTTTGGATCCAGCTTGTAATCGGACAACTTTCTCTGTCTTCTCGACTTTCCTGGGAGGGTTGGCTGGAATGCTGCTTATATGCTCCCGCCACGACACCGTCTGATCCCGACATGAGATCTATGAAATCTCCCGGTGCTACGACCCAAGCTTGCCGATCTGGACCCTGCACTACCTCACGGGACCAATGCTCTTAGCAGAATCACAGCCTTGTCAAGATCTGTCGGGGTCAGGAAATCAGCCCTGTCAATATTCAAAAGGCGAAAACGAAGATATGGTTTCAATCGTGGGGCTGACAAACTGGTCCGACTAGTGGTTGGGCAGTGGAGCAGTAATTTCCCCAGCACAGATGAGGCACACACCCTCGCCTCGTAATATTGCCAAAAGTCGGCCCCTACTTCGAGACCACCGACTCCGCAAGTCCATTGAAGTATGCCAGTCTACAGTGCGCGACTCGGCTCGCTCACGGCACCTGGAGAGCAGTCGTGGTGGTCGCATCTTGCGGCAAAAGACTAAGCGGCCGATGACGATATTGATACTGTACTAGCGATTGCGGAAGGCGCCGGCTTACCGCTGTCAGAAGCCCAATGCGAAACGGTTGGGCGAAGCGAGCACGACCGATCTGCAGATCCAGCGCGTCGGAGGCAGGACTTCTAATTTCATCATCTTCGCACATGTGAAATCTTTTTCTGCTGTTCTCACCACTATCACACCGTCTCGAGTCCGTTCGAAGATACACCAAGTCGACAACTGTCTACCGCCGATTATCAGGCTCGCAGCGCCGGACACTCGAGACTTCATCTCAAACCCCTGGGCTGACGCAGCGCGTCATCAGGGGTACTCCATAAACATGTCGTTTATCTTAGCGTATCGACGACCGAAGGAGAAACTAGTTCGGCCACGGGCACAAAGTATCCCTACCCTCCAGGAGAATTTCATACATCAATACCGGCCAAAACCCTACAGGCTCCTTAGGTTCGAAGAGCTGCCGGAATGGTATCAAGACAACCACTTCTGCAGATCAGGGTACCGACCAGTGTCCAACTCATGGACCACCTGCCTGCTCTCTCTTGGCCATCTCCACAACGAGTCGCTGAACATCTACACCCATCTCATACCGGCTGTCGGTCTTATGTTTGGACAATTTCTCATCTATAGTGGCCTCAGCTATTTCTATCCGGATGCATCGATAGCAGACCACGCCGTCTTCAGCGTCCAAGTCAATGCCGCCATCATCACTATGCTGCTTTCCTGCAGCTATCATACCATGATATGCCACTCGAAAGACATCGAGAATTTGATGCTGAGGGTTGACTATGTTGGCATTCTCACGCTGATATTGGGAAGCTTCTTTTCCGGCATCTATGTGGGATTTTACTGCGAGCCCGTCCTGCGGCGCGTCTATTGGACCATGATCATCTCCCTCAGCCTAATCACCGCCACGTTGGTTCTGCATCCCAAACTACAAGGCCTGAAGTATCGGCCTCATCGGACGTGGGCTTTCATATTTACAGCATTGTCGGGCTTTGCCCCGATCATCCACGGCATTGTCCTTTACGGCTGGGACGAGATGTGGGTGCGCTCCGGAATGCCTTATTGGTTCCTGGAAGGCCTCGTTTACGGTATTGGCGCTTTCTTCTTCATCACGCGGCTTCCGGAGTCTGTATGGCCGGGCCGCTTTGACATTTGGCTCTCGTCACACCAGTTCTTCCATGTCTTTGTGGTATTGGCGAGCGTCGTACATCTGTACGGAGTCTGGGCGGCATTTGATTGGAATTATCAGCATCAGAGAATATGCCCACCGCGGGGTTCATAAATATCCAAGCGATGTCTTGAGCGGTTTGCGTCACCGTCTATCAATCTATGTGGCATCTGTCCCGACGCAGAACTGTACGCTCAAACAGTGAACTTCTGCAGATTCTCAGGGCCCGACTTCCTCGCGATCTCGGCCACCTGCTTCTCTCCGAGTTCGTCGAAGATATCATAACCCCATCTTGCTGGGAAGTTGAATCTTCTGTGCCTCTCAAGAGCATTCAGTCTCTGCATCGCCTCCTCCGGAAGAACAGCATCCTGGAAATTGCCCTTGATGCGTTTCTCGGTAACACTCTTTGGAAGGACTATCGTGCCACGTTGAACGCCCCAGCTCACAAGCACTTGACCCGGATCCATCCCCAAAGATTTGGCGACCGCATGAACTTCCGGATCGTCCACGGTCTTTGGCTCTCCCGTGGTGTTGTTTCCGAGAGGACTGTAAGCCTCGATCAAGATGCCCTTCTCCTTGCAAAAGTCCAGCAAGTCAGGTTGTTGAAGATACGGATGGGCTTCGACCTGGTTGACGGCGGGAACTACCTCGGCGACGGAAAGCAGTTCTTTCAGGCGGCGGATATTGAAATTGGAGACGCCAATGGCTCGAGTCTTCCCCGTCTTCAATAGTGCCTCCATCGCCTTCCACGTCTCGTTGAAGTGCACTTCTGACAACTTGAAGACGCCGTTGTCATCTAGAGGAAACCAACGACTACCTGAAGCAAAAGCCACCGGCCAGTGCATTAGGTACAGGTCGACGTATTCGACACCAAGGTCTTGCAATGACTTGTCGAGTGCTGCTTCTACGTCCTTGGGGTCATGCTTCGAGTTCCAGAGCTTCGACGTAATGAAGATGTCTCTTCGATCGACGCCGCTTTTCTTGATCCCCAGACCGACCTCGGTCTCGTTTCTGTAGATTGCTGCACAGTCTAGATGTCTGTAACCGGCCCTGAGCGCAATTTCGACCGCGTTCTCGACTTCATGCGGTGCCGCTTGCCAGGTGCCGAAACCTACAGCGGGGATCTCGGCCCCAGTGTTGAGTGTGAAGGTTCGATTGAGTGCCATTGTCGTTCTGGTAGTGATCTGGATCCTTGCTAGGGGTAATCCTGGGTTGCGAGAAGAGCAGGTCCCAGCTGCTGGTGGGTGGTAGGCTTCCTTTTCAATCAGCGACATGGATGCATTCGCAGGCGTTTGCACATTTCCACCGGGATGACTGGCGTTCGGCAACGTTTCCGAGATGCCATTCTGTGTTTTTGACACGAGTTCTCTTGAGACTATTGCTAAGTGAGCATCAACGAGCCAAATGGGGGCGTGGGGGAGCTGCGTCGATTGCCGACGGAATTCTCGGAGTGTGGAAGCGCAGCACCAGGGCAGTCTCTGGATCTTTCTCTCGTGGGGGTGTACGGAGTACGCATTGTGCCCAGCCCTCCCCTATTCCGCTTGGTTTCTAACCCGAGGAGCTTCTTCCCCGCCCGTCTGTCATCGGTCCCTTCCGCACCGGACACCTTCATCTCCCACCCGACGCTTCACGGAACGCACTCTGTTGCGCCAATCCCACGCCGATGGACACAACGCCTTCGATAGGTGACGACGGCGATCTGCCGTCCAGTCCACCGAAGAGGCGCAAGCTAAAGCATCCGCGCACTGCGAGAGCGTGTTTGTTCTGTAGAAGGTAAGTAGCTACGCCTCGTGTATGCAGTCGCTCCGAAGGAAGAGCCTCTATGCGGCGAACCCGACCGGCTCTTGCAGCTTTCTGTACGCCCTTTCCCATGTATGGACGCTGACGACAAGACAGAAGGAAAGTGCGCTGTTCAGGGACTCAGCCATGCGACTATTGTCATGGTGAAGGTGTGCGTTGCGAGTACGACGGCGTTGCAAAGCCGCAACCCAGAGACCTTGACCGGGTCCCTCTTTCAAGCACCCATACTGTCCAAGCTGCTCAGAGTCCCTCGGTGCAACAACCGGGTTTCTTCCTAGGTGTAAATTCCCGGGAAAGTCACCCAACCCAGCCAGCGTCAACCAGAGATGCGACAAATTCGAAAGGACAAGGACCAAATCCGCTGGCGACAGTATCAAACGCGCACATCCCCCGTATCTCTCGAGGTCCGTCGCTGGAGCCAACATTTGCCGAGGGCCATCATATTGGTGCAACAGCAGGCGTGTCGTTCCTCTACCACACATTGAACCGGGGCGAGGTTGCCGAAGCAGAGACGACTCTGCCAACGGCACTCTTAACATGCCACGGCGACATACCTCCGATGAAAGTCCGTCAGGACCAGCCAATGCCTTCACGAGAAGAGGCAGACGCTCTCCTGGAACGTTATTTCCGATTTGCGACCCCGACCTATCGCTTCCTACACCGGCCGACGCTTGAGAAGTGGACATCCGGCCTGTTGACCGGGGAGCGCTTGTCGACGGCAGAGGCGGCCTGCACACTCCTAGTCTTCTCGCAGGCACTACTGTACATGAAAGACAATGACAGGTACGTCGATGGCGGCGATCAAGACCTGCATCGCAGCCAGTTCTATTTCGAGAGGGCCAAGTCTCTACTCAATCAAGAACCAGGCCCGGCGTCCCTTGCGAGCGTGCAGTCCAGGCTGGCTCTATGCCTGTACCTGCTCAGCACGTTCCGCATAAACGAATGCCGATACGTGTTCAGCCTCGCCTGCACGATTTTGACCTCACTCGGCCTGCACCGGGAGTCCTCTGCGGCTTCCAGCAAACTCGATCTCGTGGCGCTCGAGTCGCGAAAGCGCACGTTCTGGTGCGCTTATGTCCTGGATGACTACCTCAGCGTGATGCTCGGCCGGCCAAGAATGCTTCGCGACGAGGACATCGACCAGCCCTACCCGCGCAACATCGACGACCAAGACCTGCTGTCCTCGGAATCACCTGATGAGCTCCCCCTGCACGGCAACCTGGAAGCCTTCATCGCGCACGCCGACCTCGCCAAGCTCATGGGCCGGAACAGCGATCTGCTCTACCCGCTGCAACCTTTGACGGAGGACCAACTATTCGACCGGACCAATGAAATGCTCGACTCGGTCACCCAGTGGCGGGACAGGCTCCCAGACTTCCTCAAGCCCCGGGACAAGACGCTCGCAGGCCACCGGACGTTCGAACGCCAAAACACCGTCCTCAAGCTGGCGTACGCGCACTTGCGCATCCTCGTCACACGCCGGTGCCTGCTCGCCGATTTCAGCCGTCTAGGCCACAGCACGCCGTCCCCAGCGATGTCCATCCTCGACGACCGTGCGTTGAAGCCCCTCCAGGAATGCGTCGCTGCCATCACCACGATCTTGAACGCCACTCACGACCTAATCCAGCGCAATGCCCTGTACCAGGCCTTTTGGTTCACGCAGTACATTGCCCTGGTGGCCATCTCGACACTCTACGTCTACGTGATCCAGAGCAGCCGCGCTAGTCTGCCGGCTGGGATCTTTCCCGGGGTAGATGCAATATTTGACAAGGCAAGACTATGCCAGGATTATCTCGCGAAGTTGGCTCCAGAGGGCAGCCAGGCACGCCGCCATTGTAATCTCCTAAGCCGCCTGCGCCGACGCGCCGAGAAGGACGCCGCGCGGGCGAGGAGGGTCGACATGGGTGTGGGTACGGTCGTGGGTGCTACTACAGTTGCGGCTGACTCTGGCTCTGAATCATCGTTGCCAGCCCGTGTAAACGTGCCTTCTGCATCCGAGGCCGCGACGACTAGAGGACCAGTCGTGGAATCAGAAGGGCATGGACGGGGAATAGACTCGCAAAGGGATACAGGTGCCTCGGATCACCAGGACGGTGGTACTGCCGGTGGTGCTGTTGGTGTTGGTGAGAACTTCCGCGGACTCGAGGCTGCGAATCTTGATCTTGCCGCGGACAAGGGGGTTACAGCGCAGTTCACGCCTTCGGAGGATGATTTCATGTTTCAGAATCTTCTGGGCTGGGGATGGGAGACCTTGGACACGGTTGGGTTTCCGGGAGATGGGGATGTGTTCAAGTTGTCTGCGTGAGGATGAGGAGGAGGAGGGTAGAGCTCTGACCGGATTCCGTGTAGTGAAATACTTTTCTCATCTGTGTGCCTAAGACTGTCAGCGTTACAAAGGAGTGGGGTTGTTTCAGACACTACATACTTGTACTTTACCTAGGTATGTACTCTATGTTACGTACTAGTACAACCTGTACGTTCCCTGATGGTACTTTACCTGCGTTACTTACTCTACAGGACTTGTGTGCCTCAGGATTGTTCTTTGAGTGCGTCAAAGACGAAGAGTCCCATGCGTTTCACCAACGGCGTATGTATGGGAGCAGCTTCACTTATCGTAGCGATCAGTGGCACATGACACTACATGAGGACTTCATGTACGGAGTACAAAGTATAACATATACACCGACCGGCATGGTTGGTAAGTCATTGTACTCCGACATTCACTCAATACTGCACTACATAAGTACATAGTCCCTACATTGCACACTACTGTATGATACACACTTCATCCCTGCTGCCACAGCTTCGTCTTCTTCCCCTGGAATCCCAACTTGTCCAGCTCGGCGACCTCTTCGCGAGTCAATCTCCACCCCAGAGCCTGCATGTTCTCGACAGCCTGACTCTCCTTCCTCATCCCAACCACCGGCACCGCCCCCTTGAGGATGTTCCAGTTCAGCGCAACGGCAGCGACACTGACGTTATATTTCTGTGCCAACCGCCGCTGCACCTGCAATGCCGGCTCCACATGCTCCATATCGTAGGAACTGAACCGATACTCCTTCGGCGGCGGGTTATCCCTCGTGTACTTCCCAGTCAGCCGGCCCTGCGCGACGGACGAATATGACTGGAACACGATCCCGTGCTGCTTGCACGCCTCCAACATGCCTTCCATCTCCGGCATGCGGCGCAAAATCGAGTACTCGCACTGGTTCGTCGCAAGGGGCACGCCATACCCGGCCAATGCTTCCTTCATCTTCAACATGTCGTCCACGGAGTAATTCGCCACGCCGACCGTGCGGGTCAACCCCTCTTCCACGCATTTCGCGAGGCCCTTGGCCACCTGGGCGATCGAACTGACGTGCACGTGCCCATGCACAAGGTAGCAGTCGATGTAGTCGAGGTGCATCCTCTCGAGCGTCTTGCGGAGCTGCTTGACGGGTGCGTCGACCGGGTGGATGACGTTGGTAGCCCCGTCCGTGACATTGGGGAGCCATTTCGTCTGCACGATGATCTTGGAGCGAGGGACGCTCCCGCTGTGCTTGTTGATCAGGTCGCCGAGGATCTCTTCGCTCTTGCCGCTGCCGTAGACTTGGGCCGTGTCGACGAAAGTCATGCCCCTGTCCAGACATTCTTGCCACGCCTTGCGCAGGGCCGGGAGCTCATCGTCTGACCAGTGGAAGGTGCTGGTGTCGCCCCAGGACCAGGCACCCCAGATGATCAGTGGGATGGGGACATCGTGACCATCCTTCCCGCGGAGGGTGTACCGCGTAGAGGGCTCGGGAGTGAAGGTCTCGGGGAGGAGGTGTTTCAACCCGTCGTACTCAGGGGGCACAGGATCAGGTTTCGACGAGTGCATGCCGGAGACGGCGGACATGCCGGCCGACAGGCCTGTCTGGAGGATTTTTTGTGCCATTGTCCTGAGATGAAAGGTGAGTCCAAAGTTGCTGGGGATGATTACAGCGTCTGCGGAAGGTCAAGCTGGATCTGGGATGTAAGTCCGTCCTGTAGAGCAAAGTGTCTACACTTCAAGTTTTCTCTCAGAATCTGGCGGATTAAAAATCCAGAGTCCTTTAGAGCGTCAAGTTTACTCTACATACATCAACTGGGTGCAGCAACTTCAGAAGAGTGTAGACGTCAAGGCGATGGTAAGATCCAACCACATCGCAGCGCATGTTTCATCCGGAGCGCCCTGCTTAAGTACTCCGTACCTACCGAGGTCATCATGATGTCCACTGTGTTGGTTCAGACGGAAAATCTATACTGCTAGTGTCGATCGCCATCCGGTGATCTTCAATCGACACGGTTACGAAAGCTTGACAGAACCACAGTCCCGGAATGAGATTTCCGTCCTGGTGTTTTGAATGATGTCATCGAATCTTTAAAGTACAGAAGCGTACATAGTGCACGACTAAATCACGCGGCAGCAGCGACACAGGACTTCGTAGGGGTCTCTCCGGACAAGGTAACGAATACAGTAGATCTAGGACCTTTAGACCGAACTGACACTGTATGCTTGTAAATCGATCATACTACTGTATGTACCTAATGTAAACTACACGTACCTCAGTATACTACGTAGCCTGACGTCAGTACACATCACTGACAGCCCTCCACCGACGCTAGCCAGGTTAACCAGAATTCGTACTGTACTCAGTAGTACAAAAGTGATCTGAACAGGGTTCTGGCCTGCTACCGCACCGGTACTGACTTGAGCTCAGCCCGGACCTGGCTCGAGCCCAGCTCACTCTGGCCCAGGCCAGCTCACTTGAAAACCCTCAAATTGAATAGTAAGGACCAAGCTCAGTGCTGGTTTAGTCTCAGCCTAGTCTCAGCTCGGACTCAGCCCGATCTCAGCTCAACTCCTAGCCTAGTCTAGCTCGATCCTAGCTTAGTCTAGCTCGATCTCAGCCCACTCTAAACCGATCCCAGCTCAGTCTGAGCCCAATCTCAGCTCGAGCTCAGCTCACTCCCAGCCCACTCTTAGACCGAGCTAGCCTTCCTTAGGGAGAGTTATATAGTATTAATGATAAGGATAGTATACGGTATATACTATACAGCTCTCCTTGCGGGACTACTGTAGCTCGATCTCAGATTGAGCTGGAGATGGGGTGAGCTCGAACTACAACTGGGCTGAGCTCGAAATGAGACTGATCTAGAGTGGGCTGAGACTGAACTGGACCGGGCTGGAACTGAGCTAAACTACATATTCCATCTAATCCCTCTAAGTACATACTAGATACATTTTACTATATTATGTAAAGTAATACATGTACTAGATCCCTCGCACAGGCCAGTGACTGGCGGAGTTGGAGTAAAGTGACGACGCCGACGGCCTGTTCCTCTTCCATGGTCATGTCGCCTGATGGATAACGCATAGGTCGTGTTCAGGCGGCAGTACTCGAGAATGTATATATGTAGGTTGAATGGGCGTGGGCCTCCTTGTAAACGTCGGGCGCGAGGTTGGTCTAAATGTACTACGTGTAGAAGAAGTCGAAACGTCACATCTGCTCGGTGCGCTGCCGTGTACTTCAAGTCCAGGCGTCAGCGTGAGGAGGTTGTTGTAGCCGTTGTCGGTCCCGTCAGAAGCAGCGTCTTCTGGGTCTTAGAGCTTCAAGTTGCCTTGGTTCTTGAGCTTGTCGGCGATTTCCAACAACCGGGCGCTATAGTACTGTACTCGATGAACAGGCGGAACGGACTCGATCTTCTAAGTCTCGCGGCCGTTTGTTGGGCCGCACCGTCTTCCCCCAACTCTCGGGCCAGAAAGCGGTATACCGTCAAGGCCGGACTGGCGGCGTAATCGGTCGTCTCAAGCCGGTCATAGACTACATAGTACATACTTAGTATGTTCGAGCCAATAGGCATTGTCCTTGAGGAGACTGACTCCGACATGGCCGCGAAATGGTCCATAAAGTACTTACTTACCTGTGTCTATGTACCTCTTTGGATGTACTGTATTCAGATGGGAAAACGCGGGGGTTCCCGGAATCATTCCATTTCGAGGCTGTATAGGTCCTGGGTTATTGCCGCCGAAGGCACTGTAGGTAGATGGTAAAGTATGTATGCTCGCCACGACCCTGGTGAAAACGAGTATTTGTGTGACGAGCTGGGGCTGTATGTACTTAGCTGGCTAGACAGACTATGTATAGTAGTACATAGTTACTATATATGTATTGTAGGCCAGTATATACTGAGTACATATGTATGTTTTACCAAGAGATGGCAGCCCTCAGCCGGAGGTGAGTTGGAGTGCATGGGTCGATTGAAGTCGTGGCTCCCTGGCACGGTTGAGGGATGTGGTACATAGTCTGGAAGGGGCGGTCGATCTAGAATCGGTGAGGGTGCTGCACATGCTGGCTGAGAGTTCAAAGTTGCTGAAAACTTGAAGTCGATTCAAAAGGAAAGGCTTGAGCCTTTCACACACGACGAGGTTGTAGCTTATGTATTGGTACAGTATGTACGCGTCGAACAACTGGAATGGCAACACCAAAACGCAAAAGGTGGACTTTAAAGTGGAATTCAAAACTATCGAAAGGAAGTTAAACACTAAAGTTGTTCGCGAGGCCGGTTTGAACAATGAGAACTGGAATATCTCGTTGACATCGATTCCGATCATGGACGCCACGGAACTTGGAAACCGGATGGTCACCGTAGTGCAGCAGGATATGCTCAAAGTCTGAGACTGTGGCTCTTGCAAGCGGGATCGGAGTGATCGTGTCGCTTTAGAAGTATCTAAGTATCTATGTCTATCTGCCCGACCTCTCGGGGATGCGACCCGTAGATGCAATGACTACTGTATGCAAGAACACAAAAACTGAGTGGTTGGCTAAGCTTGAACTGGGTTGGGGCGGTAGTACCTACACATGAACGGTTTAGATCTTACACAGTATGCATCGCTGTACCAGGAAAGGGACGCAAGATCCTACATATAGTAAGTCAGTGGCTTCGAGTTCTCCAGAACACACCTACTTTACGCACGCGCAAGGGACGCCCGGGAAAGGATCGCTCTTGTTGCGAGGGTAGAAACAAAAAGTATGTATGCTTCTCGAATTGCACTTGCCATGTCTGCACTCGTTGTTGAGCACGCATGCCACAGATGTACCAGCGCTACTCTACTACTTGTCAGACGTTGAACTGAGGTACGGAGTACACTCCGAAAATCCTCGAGTGCCCAGGTCCTGATCTACCCCCGGGAAATATATGTGTTTTTTGTAGTCAGGGCCTCTGGAAAGAAGGACTGCCGTTGCAGCCTAAGATCCCCAACGTCCAATACTACTAGTAAGGTATGAATGATCAGAAGTCTATCTCCCAGAAAGCCCGAATCTGCTCAATCTTGCTTTTCCATGTGCCCTTCGTAAAAGTAAACTCATAAGCTCGTAGCATATGCTGAACAATAACCCGCATCTCGGAAGCTGGGGTCGGCGGTGATCGTAGTTTGATGGTATTTTGTGGTTTGCGGCAAATTTTAGTCTGCATGCAGATTTGATGTCATGATTTCATTATGACCTGGGGTTGCTCATGTATCGTTCGGTATCGCTCGTTTATTTGGCGCTTCACGTTCGCCTCGGCTTGCTTGAAGAATCTGGGGATTCAATGTCTGGTCTGTGGAAACAAATTCTGATGCCGTGGTGCCCCCGAGGGATGGCTGATCCTTTCCCTACTCAATCAATGCGGCGATTTAGGATCGGCACTAGCAGAAGCTGGAGGAGGCGGTGGTGCAGATTGGGGTGCAGGAGGTCGCGGCATGGGAGGCGCCGGAGGTGCGGAAGCGTCCGTGGAATTCTGGCCTTGGATCTGTACTGCAGGTGGTTGTGGGGACGCGGGTGGTCGGTGCTGTGATGGTAGCGGTGGTTGCGGTTCTTGCTGTTGTGAAGGTGAAGGTGATGGTTGTTGCTGTTGCGAGGGTGGTTGCTGTGGAAGGGGTTGATGAGGGTATTGCGAGGTCGAAGGAGGACTCCCCTGTGGACCATTCGGTAGAGCGGGAGCTGCCCGTGAGTACTCTTCGATGCCCTGTAGCATACCATTGGGAGGCCGAGCATGGTCAAAGTTCATACGACCACACATAACTACATCTGCTTCTCCCATGGGTTGCCATCTCACATTTCGTAGCCTCGTCGCGATAGGTCGTCCCCCTTGATCGAAGGCCGGCTCCGGGGACACCATGACACCCGCTTTCCCGAAAAAGGTCGGTGCAATAGTGAGAATGACTGAATCGATCAGATGGGAGCGATGCATCCTCAGTAGCTCAGAGAGAACAATTCCACCTCCTTCCACCATGATGCTCTTGATGCCCTCACGGAACAAGACATTGAAAATACCCTCCCAACTCAGTCCACCTTGTGCAGGGATATAGTCATTGATCATGAGATATTCTCCACCATGGGCTTTCAGTGTGCTCACAGCCATAGGATGCAGCATTGCACCTGGCGCGACCACGACCCAAGGCGCCTTGCCACGACCCTCCGACGCTGTTTTCAGCACCTTCATCTCCGGATTAATTCGTAACCGTGCATGAGGATCGATAATGATCGGTCGAGGCTGAAATTCCCAAGCGAGTCCACCATAGCCGGTAGAATTTGCGAGTCGGCAATTGAGGGCAGGATCATCTGCTATGGCTGTGGCGACACCAATCAGAATGGCGTCATGTCGACTTCGTAGATAATGTGTCATAGCCTTCGTCTCGGGACCAGAGATGGCAGTGGGAACGCCTGGAACTTGGCTGATCCGGCTGTCCAAACTACTCGCCCAGGTAAGGGTGACATGGGGTCGGGTTCGCACATTTGCCAGCTTCGGATCAGGCACATAGGACTCCAGAAAGCCCCTGGCATGATGTGGATACTGTAGAGTGTCCCAACGAACGGCCGGTTCACTCCGAGCATCTGGTTTGACTGGTTCCAATCGACCAAAGACGCCAGCCTGCGCTGGAGGCTGGAACTGAGGGGGTGGTGGAGGGGGTGGTGCAGGCGGCTCTCGACGCGCACGTTGCAACGTGAAGCCCTTGTGTGCTTTGAGGCCTGTTCGATGATTTCCCTGTCGCCAGGCATATTGCACGTTCCGAACGTCAGACATCTTCATAAACTTCCCCCCCGCGGCGTGCATTTTCTCCGGCTCCTCCCACATCTTCCAGTAAATCGACGCTGGCATATACGCTTTAGCCGCCTCACGGCGAGCGGTGTCCATGATACCGGTGTTTCTTTTTGTCCCGTCAATGTAGTCCAGGTCATGGGAATGTTTGACCACCCCATCGGTAGCACGAGAAACGGTACAAGTGTCGCCCGGATGGAAGACGACCTTCATCGTCATGGCACATGTCTTCTCCTCGCGAGTCCGTTTCTTCCTCTGTTGTTTGCCCTCCGGTGTTGGGCGAGGTGTGTATGACTTTGTACTGGCACGACGCAGTCTGCAGGCATAATAGTCCACCGTGATGGTATGGTCTTCCGGCTGCGATTCTGTTGTCCTCATCTTGCGCCAGACGTTGTCCACGAATGGGAAGTACGTATGCCACTCTGCTGTGGACAGTTGGACCGGGTCTTCCAGATTGAAGAGTCGCTGGCGAATATCGGCAAGATTGGGGGGATTGCTGAAGACGCTGTAGTCGGGAGGTTCGTCCTCAACCACAGTATATTGTCTGCCATGGGGGCGTTTGCCATCGGGTTCACCTTCATCCTCGTCTTGATCGTGCATGCTGGTGTCATTAAGACCGTCCTCATCGCCATCGCTCTCGAGCTGATCGTCATCTTGGTGGTCGAGCTCGTCAGCACCGTCGGGTGTCTCCGGGTCGGTGCTCATTGTGATTAGCGTGGAGAGATTGTGATGATCGTAGTGATCGACACCGGTAGGGCTGTGGGAATGTGGACTCGAAGGAGCAGACGCGTTCTCATTCGTAAAGCAGACAGACTTCGCTTGGCCGGCGCGAGGGTATCAACATGACAATATTCGTAGAGTAGAAAGAGATGCAGGGGACATGGAAGTCATGCGCGTGTCTGTGAGGGCGCCGTCATTCACGCACACCTCACTTTCGCTGTGGATTCACACGTAAAAGTGAGCCAGAGGTGAAAGTTGCGCGATTTGGGGGTCGAGTATGACCGGTTGAGGTTCGGATCAGCGGTTAAGCTCCACTCGCGCCGCCAAGCGCTTCTCATGCAAGGGACCGGCTAAACTAAATCGTCTCTAAAATGGAATGTGACAGGTCTCAAAGGCGAGGGAAGGGCACTGCAGGAACACTCGACGACGTACGAGTAGGCAAGGGAACACATTCGGAATCGTCGTTGACATGCGCCATATTTGCACGTCTTGTGCGAGGTCTCCTTTAAGAAGAAGCGAGTACCTGTGCTGGAAGGGTTTCCCTAGCTTCGTACTCACGGACCTGAGGACCTAGGTCGTGGCAGAGACGACAATGCTTTCCTCCATCCCTGCATCTCCCTCGTAGCTTACTATAGCGGCCTGGCGCAGATGTTGCAAAACACTTTTGGGTATCATGATTCGACAAGTCCAACACGAACGTCTCTGATTCACCGTCTGCCTCCATACCTAGGTCTGCTTCTCGACCGGCTTCTTGTTGCGCTCCTGCTCCTGCTTCGGCTGTAGCTGCTACGAGAACTGTAGCTGGGGCTGCGTCTCCGCCGTCGCGGTGGGCTCCGGGCTGGAGGACCACGTCGTCGGGGCGGGGTTCTGGATGGTGATCTCGAGTACGACGGTGACCTCCTACGCCGCCTCGGTGGGGAAGGCGATCGCGAATGTGTGTCGCGTGGGACATACGTGTCATCTTCTGCGCCTCGTCTGCCTCCACCGTATCCTCCTCGACGGGGCGGAGGGCTTCGGTATCTGGAAGGAGGAGGCCCTCTCGCCGGCGGTGGTGCATAGCGGGACGGTGGTGGGCCACCATATCTTGAGTTCCTAGCTGGCGGCGGTGACCTGGAGAATGCTCTTCGTGGAAGGACAATGCTGACGGCGATGGACACGCCATCCAGTTGAGCCTCATGCATATGCGCAATGGCGGATTCGGAGCCAGAAGGATGATCATAGAGAATGTAAGCGGTGCCGCGATTTGTCATGACTGTTCAACATTAGAGATGGGCCAACAATCCAATCACGAGCTAAAACATACATTGTTTGTTGAGCGGAAGGTCAACTGACTCGATACGACCATAAGAGCCGAAGATCTCGCGTAGATGGGCTTCAGTCACGTTCTTAGTGAGCTTTTCCACTACAATCTTCGAACTCTGTAATCGTCGACCGTCTCTGCTGGGACTTCTAGTGTAGCTTCGATCTCGATAGGATCTTCGGTCTCCACGACTTGGACTTCGGCTGCGCGAAATGCTGCGACTGTAACTTCTGCCGCGGCCGTGACCGTTGAGTCCATCACGATGAGGCGATCGAGTACGCGACCTTGAGCACGACCGAGCGGGGGATCGTGTTCTTGTCCTGGATCTGGATCTGGATCTCGGTGAGGGTGACCGTCGCGGTGAGCGCGAGGGATTGAAGGGTGGTGAAGGTGCTCTCTGTACAGAAGCTGGGGTGTGAGATCGCGTAGGCGAACGGCCCCGAGAAGGGGTTCTTGAAGGCATAATGAGGGTATGATTGCCGAGAGTTTGTGGAACGTCTAGGGCATGGTCGACTGAAGGATTGTCTTGCACTGGTCGGGGGTTGCAGGGTTAACGTCTCTCAGTTCCTGCGGCGCGCATCAGACGCTAAAAATGAAATTGTGGGAGTGGCATGAATACTCGGCAGTACAGCCCGGTCTTGGCGTGGGGAGCTCCACATTCACGCCTCTCCATTCAATCTCGGAACTCTATTACGAGGTAGACAACTCAGCACAGTCGACAGCTCCCTCGTACCTCGTACCTCGTCCTAGGTGTAGATGACGCTTCCACGGTGAGTCCCCGGCTGCTGCAGCTTCCTCCTCGGGCAAATGATGTCGCCCAGGTCTCCTCCGTGCCCAAAGTCGTCGAACGGGTCGAAGATCATGAAGCTTTCCCCGCAAAGCTTCTGTCACCTTCCTGAAATGCAACGCTTTCCCACCAATTGGAACTTTCGCTTTGCTGGGGAGTCCGGCTATAGACAAGCTCCGCGGAATGCTGGAAGGACTGCAGTTACGGTGGACGGATCCATTCGACATGGCTTGCATAAAAGGTCAAGCACAACGTCGATTCCAGAGCGAGCCAGTTCTCAATCACTACATATGCCAAAATGCTCGTGCCACGCGTCGTCGTCGCCGGCTCCCTCCTCGTCAAGCTGGCTTCGTGTGCCGTCCCATTGTCTATTACACCTGTCCAAAATGCCAGCAAGCCTCTTCTTGAGTCCTTCGTTTCGTACTCGCTCGAGTTTTCCTCATTCCCAGACTTCGCGGGGAACTCGAGTCAGCCAAACATCTTCTCATATAACCTCCTAACCAACCTACGTGACCTTCAAGGGTCGTATCCCATCATCCGCGTTGGTGGTAACACAGAGTACGTTGGTCCGCGATCTTGAGACTGGCGTTCTGAATAGGAACATAGAGACTATGCAACTTTCAATGCATCTCAGACAGACGCCCTCGTCGGCAGCTACGATTTCAGCCGATCCAGAGATTACCCGACAACGATATCAATAGGTCCAGAGTACTTTGACTCTTATTCCACATGGCCTGGAGTGACTTACGTTCATGGCTTCAACATGGGCAAGAATGGTTCAGCAGGCTACGACACGCTGGTTGGCACCGTGCCCTTGGTATGCAAAGCCTTCGGCACCAGCAAAGTCGCCTATTGGGAACTGGGCAACGAGCCCGATCTGTTCAAGACCAGTTCCCAGGGTCCCGTCCGGCCCAGCTGGTGGAACGAGACCGACTATGTCCAAGAGTGGCTCAACAAGACTCGCCTCATCAGACAACTGGTGCAGCAGAACTGCCCAGATGTCATTGCCTCGGGTAAGTTCAAGTTCTACTCGCCCAACTTTGCGGGTACAGGCAACAGCCTGAATCTCATCACCACCTGGAACGCCGGATTGAATGCAGATAACGACATTGCATTCATCGACAGCCACAAGTACGCCCCCGTCCTACTCCGTCTTCGTCTTGTGCGTTTGATCATATCTTGCTAACGACCGTCAGCTACATTGGAGGAGCGACCCAGCCGGGCGTCACGCTCCAAGGCACCTTGATGAATCACACCTCGACCGTGCTCTCAATCAACAAGCACCTCAACGAATCGAGGCTCCTGGCCTACACGGGCCTCCCCTATATTCTAGGCGAGACCAACAGTCTCTACAACGAAGGAGCACCAGGTCTGTCAAACTCCTTTGGCGCCGCGCTTTGGGGCGTCGACTTCAACCTCTACTGCGCAGCCACGGGGATTGCCCGCGTCCACATGCACCAGGGCACGAACTACAGGTACCAGTCATGGCAACCGATCGACACGGTCAACGCAACAATGGGCACCAAAGCACCCTACTACGGGAACATCATGGTCGCGGCTTTTTTGGGCAACTTGACGGCCGGCAACGTTAGCATAGCCGACGTGGAGCTCGGAAGCACCTACCAGAACGCCTACGCCGCGTACGTGGACGGCCGGCTGGAGAGAATCGCCATCATCCAGCTGAATGCCTACAACTCCACCTTCAACGGCAGTGGGACCGGCACCGCCACCGACATCAAGCCCCGACCAACCGAGACTTTTAGCTTCCAATTCCCCGCCGGCCAGACATCGGGGTTGAAGGGCTTGGATGTGCAGCGCCTCCTCGCGAACGGGAGCGATGCCATTACAGGCATCACCTTTGACGGAGTGTCGTATAACCTTGAGCTGGACGGGGGCAAGCCGGTGACCCTGAACAATGTCACCAGAGGCGAGGTCTTGCAGGCCGCCCAGGATGGGACCATCTCTGTCACGCTGCCGTGGTCGAGTGCCGCCATATTAAACCTGCAGTGGTGAAAGCGTCCGCGATAGAGCCAGGAGGACGCGAGACGGGCGGAAATGAATTCTGGTATATACTGTCTAGTCATGAGTGACGAGTGCACGAAGAATACGCTCCGCCTGCCGGGCACCCGAAATAGACTACCCCCAAGCCATTGCCTACAGTATCTGGGGGCCGTCAATACAGTTCCCCGTTTTTACAGCACCCATACCCAAATTCAGCCCGGCCAGAATATGCATGGCGGTGTCTGCGCGCATTTCGGCCCGCAGGGGTACTTCGATGGAACAAGTCAGGAACCTAGACCACGGAATTCTCTTCCTACTCGATGTTTGTATCAGTGTTGTCGCCGGGTCGTCTTCTCTATGCAGCCGAGTAAACCCTCAATGGGAGTACTGAACGTGTGGGTAGGTCGTCCTCGTGCTCTGAGAAGATAATACCATACATATGCCAACCCCTGTAGTCACACGCATGGACGCCGGGAGTACCTCGTAGACCACCTCTATTCGCAAGTCACAATTGGTACTTGACGTCGTCGCCCGCCCACACCTTGCCGTCTCTGTTCGCCTTGATTCTCAACCTCCTCACATGTTTGATATCCTCCTCGTTGTCATGCGTCAGGTACCACGTCCAGACATTGGCCAACCAACTCGCACCGATGGCGCCGGCGCAGACGCCAAACGAGACTTTGTAGCCGTTGTGGGCGTATCGCTCTTGGAACAGCTGCGGACCAATGACGCCCCCAACCTGGCCGATGCAAGACTGGAACGCCAGGGTAAAGGCCGTGCCTGTGGAGCCTATCAGACTGGCGGACCGCCCTGGAGGGGGACACAAATAAATTGGTCAGCTCATGGTCGAACATTCGGCAGGTTTAACAAATGAAGCAATGAAGCACTCACATGCCCAGAACGGTATGAAATACACCGAGTAGAACATCGTGCCGAAGATGACGGCAATGTACGTGGTATAGCGGCCCACGTTGAAGCAGAGGACGAGGAAGAAGGCCAAGGCGCCAGCACAGATGATCATGATGAACTTGGGCCGCGTCAGATATGCTTTGCTGAGGAACCATCCTGCGAAGATGATGGACAGCACGGTCGCCGCTGCGGGGGGAATGTTGAGCAACTGGTTTCGGGGAAGGCCTGCAAAACCTAGGCTTGTTGTCACGGTGGGGAGCTGCCACTGGAGCCCGTAGCCGCCTAGGTTCATCAGGATCTGGGACAGACAGAAGGCGTACGTGCGCGGGTTCTTCAGCGAGGCCAGGACTTCGGTCTTGTCGAAGGCTGCATCGTGCGTGCGGGGCGCGTTGTCCGTGAGCCGAAGTTCGAGGTATTCTTGCTCTCGGGGTGTGAGCCATTTGGCTGAACGTGGCGACTTTGGATAGTCTGGAAGAACGAGGAAGACGATGCCGGCGAAGAGGATGGTGAACAGGCCCTCGAGGAGGTAGACCCTAGAGATGTGGTTAGTTACTTGGCCCCCGGCGCTGGAGAGGACGAGTACAATCCCCCACAGCCATGTCTGTATGTGGGAAGCTTACCATCGCCAGGCGCTCAGGCCGCCGACGCCGTTCATGTACGAGATTCCGTAGGCGATCAGTGAGCCTACGATGCCTGAACAGTTCTGGAAGCCAAACATCCACATGATTGGCTTGCCCATCTCGTCGCTGCGATACCAACTACAGAGCTGCGCGGCAAGGCCGGGGAACAGTCCAGCCTCCATCATGCCTAGAAAGAAGCGAGCAGCGTAAAGGCCCTGTCTGTTCTGAACCGCGGCGTGGCATGCTAGGACCTATACCATGGCTTGGTCAGCACGATTGTGGCAACAAGGCAGTGGAATAACCAACCAAACCCCAAGATGCAATGATTCGAGACTGCCAGTTGCGGGGAGTCATCTTCTTCAGCAGCAGATTACTTGGAACTTCGAAGATGATATACGAGATCTGCCGACTGTGAGCGAGAGTATTGTGGCGTGAGATTTCTGAGGCTTCCCTGACTTACAAAGTAGATGGATTGCACCCAATTGTACTGGTTCGACGTCATGTTCAACTCCTTGAGAACATTGCGCGATTCGCCGACTTGAAGGACCTTGACAGTCGCAGCGTTGGTGTAGTCGACATTCTTGAGCATGTACATGAGACCTATGAGGAGGAGGAACCGCTTGTCCACTTTCCGCATGATCCTGCGATCTTCCTCTGCGGTGAAGGAGCTCAGGAAAGCCTCCCTTTCGTCCTCCGAAATGGACAATGTGGGAGAATCCGCCACACTTGTATGTGGCTCGACCCTGAAGTCCGCTTCTTTGGACTCGGGATATCGGTCTGTAGCTGCCATTGCTTTCAAAAAGA